AAAGTTTGTTGTGCGTCACGCCTCCGTACGATTTTGCTATCGATGTAATCTGTAATCCGTCACTGCAACACCGATACAACACAGAAGCGAGATGTATTACGTGTCGCGTGAGAAACTGGTTTTATTAATTTCTCACAGCTCGCCTGGCTTTGAACTAGCCGAAATTAGACGCCGTCGATGCAATTATTCGCGTCGTTGCAAACTCGCGACCGTCGCCGTTGTAAGGTATTATTAAAACGATCGGTTAATTATCGAGAGTTTACAATATCTGCAGCTCGCCTAATTAATCCTTGCGACGCATTCTTGCAAATTCTCCCCCAGGCCCCCCCCCCCTCCCCCTCATGCTTCCCCCATGCGACCAAGTCGCATTGCTTATTCGCATTATTATTTATTTATTATCATTTTTTTTTTTTTTTTTTTTTACCACGAACGTTATAGCGAGCGTGCTTGTCCAATTTGCGGCGCGTACATTTCGCGCTCGCGCTCGCGCTCGATCGCAATATTGCGCGGCCTATCGTGCGAATCCGGCCGAGAGCGGGCTCTTTCATCAGGTTGACTCATCATCAGGTCACCGCCACGAGTGCCACATTGCCGCATATACGCACAAGAGCGCCTCGAATTCGAGGGCTTTCTTCGCGTTAATACGGATTATGAACAAACGTACTTCGTATTGACGCGACCTCGTTTTCAGACACTCCGGAATAACACTTCGGGGCGCGAGCGTGTCGCTCGGAGCGCGTCGATGAATTCTCGCGAGGGGAGCATCGTCAAACGCCCTCGCGAATCTCGATGGATTAATCGAGAGAGGCGGCTCAGGAATATGAACGTCGCGCGGAGCGCGGAGAAATCGCGAAGAAAAAGCCGGTTCGGGTTTGGTATGAAAAGCCGAGTCTAAAATTAGGTATACACGAACGATGATTTATTACTATACTCGTCTTCTCGCGCACAGTATGATTTCTGTGAAATGTGAAACTTGAGTCTCCTTTTAGGCTTTTAGCGTTATCCACTAAATTTACCAACATTTATGTTTCATAAGATGCAACCGCGCGAGCGAGTGCGATCGTTAATTAGTTTACCAGTCGCACCGCCCAGAGCCATATCCGCGAGACTTGCGCGCGCTTTAAGAACTCTCTTATTATTTTTTAGAGAAAAGAAGCGTCGCGACGCATACGGGTACATATTTCAGCTGACACGCATCAGCTACATATTTACGTCAATTGTCGAAAAAGTCGCGTGTCCGCAAACTCGCGAGTGGCTCATCGACCCCCTCATGTCAACAATGACGAGAGGAAGAAAGTTTCAAAGTTCCATCCGATCGTAGTGCGACGTTCGTTTTGCACGCGACGTATAATTTTCGGGGGGCTCGTCTGCTGAATCTCTCTACCTGCGGCGAGTGTCTCTCTCGCAAAATTTCTCCCTGCAACGGAGGTAGATCGAACTATTGGATATTCCCGAAGGTGTAATTCCATGCCGCGCCGTACCTTCGCGCCGTACATTTCGCTCATCTCCACTATTTTCCTCGGTTCGTTGAACGCTGATGAATAATAATCGTACAAGTAATCGCGGTAACTCATCGATAATTCCGGGTCGCAGCGCGCGGTAACTGCCTCTCCTACCCCACCACAAGTTACACACACACACACCTCAACCGCGCTGCAACCCCTTTACCCCACCTTCGATCATTTTTTGTCCACGTCTACGTTACAGGTGAAACGCCTTAGATCGATGAGGAACTCCCTGCCGCTCGCATATGTCTCGCACGAGTGACACGAGCTTCCTCCACCACCACATCGCGATCGAGTTATAATTATCGCGCCGGAAAAACCTTCTCTCCGTCCTTCAATTTCCGCCACTCCGTGTGGACGTTAGGTTTGCGATTCCGCGCGTGAAATTTATTTCGACACACACACACAGACGATGATTGTGTAAATTCGAAAGTACAAATTCGGAAAGAAAGAAGAGGAGAACATGAGAAATGCAGAGATAATCAGGGCATATTGGAGTTATATCTCGGAGGAAAAATGACACTACGAAAAAGAAAAAAAAATCGCTCGTATGCATGCTACGGTGCATCCATTAATCTCAATCAGCTACCGTCGTCGATTCAGTCATTTCATCTCGTTTCTTCCTCTTTGCGAGATGTCTGCTTCCTCCCGGGCGTGTTCGCGCGATCCATTTTTCCAAGGACACGGCGGCGCGCCCTATTGTCGCGCTCGTTCACAATAATAATCGGGATTATCCGAGAACGTGGGGGGAGGGGGGGCCTCCGGCGTCGTTCCCGCGATTCCTTCTCACCTGGCGTCAGGTGCATGAATAATAAAACCACGACCACCTGAATTTGCATCCCCCACGGCTGTCTCCGACGAGCGAGCAACCGGGCGGCGAGTTTCCGCCTCGCCTCCTCTGACCCGCCCGACTACACGCTTTCCACCAGATGGGAACTGATAATACAAAAATCGATAAAGAAGCTAAGGAAGAGAAACCTGATTCTGCCTTGATTCCCCTATTATAAAAACGTTGCACGCAGCGCGCAGCAACTTTTGTTATCGAACGTCCGAGATTCGAGACGAAGTCGAATCCCGGACCCGAGGGAAACGGATACACGATCACCGCCTGATAATCATGTATTAATCAACAGATATCTCGCAGCCTGAAATATTGAGTAAAACGCGCCTGCCCCGTCTCCCGCAACGTTGAGAAGGAATTGTCCCCGCGTCACGACCCCGCGCTACTACAAAGTAAAGCGCGAGCTCCTCTTTGTGCTCTTGGACGTGCGAAAACAGCGTGAGACGTCAATTAACGCTGATACAAAATCGTACGATTTTGCGAGAGTCGCTCGCGCGCCCTTTCTGCGCGTCTCACTCTGACGAGCGCTCATCCGCTCGCGTCTTCTTTTCCCCCCCCTTTTACCCTTGTCCCCGGCCCCCGTGAGCGATGGCGCGCGAGCCTTATCGGCGCGAGGGGTCGATAATAATAATAATAAATCTATACGGTATTCGAGGGGAGAGAAGAGAAAGAGGAAGCGACCTGCCGCGCGACTTTCCCCGGACTAGATCGTCAGTTTGCGTTACGAGCCTCTTCGGCGCGGTTTATCATTATCGACCTCTAGCTTCTGCTCCTCTTCCTCCGCCTCCGCCACCGCCACCGCCACCATCGCGTTGGTGCGCGACCAGGCGACCGATGACTCTCGACGCTCGACAGGGCTTACTTTGCGGCCGACACTTTCAGACCGAACGAAATATGCTGGCTAAGGGTGTGACGGTGTGCTACCTGCCTGTAGCAACCCACACGCTCTTCGCGGCACGTCGCGGGCAGCACCGAGCCAATCGAACGAACGCCTCCTCCCTTCGTCGGGCCGCATTGCATCAGTGTTAAGCTAGCGCTCGGCCGGCACTCTTCCGGCACTCTTACCACCGTTGTCGTCGCGTCTTCCGTTTCGCGAGTGGAGTTGGCGGTGGCGTTAACGCGGAATCGATAACTTGAGATATCGCTCGTGTCACACCGCGGGCTGTCGACCTGTTCCGGCCGCGACGACCGCGACGCGTGGAATCTCGCGCGCTCGAAATCGCTTGCATCCAGTGGTCGATCGCAGATCATCGACTTGTTCCCATTTACGGTGTTTACGAACAGTATTACGCCACAACAGAAGCCACCATCACCGGGATCACAGGGCTTTTACCGTCGACTCTTCTCTTCTCGTCCTTGTCTTGTCGTCGTCGTCGTCGTCGTCGTCGTCGTCGTCGTCGGGAAGAAAGACGAGCGCGTGTTTCGCACCTGTGTGACGGGATTATTGCGTTTCTTATTACGCGGCAGAGATGTCGAGCGCGCGACGCTGTGGTGGAATCGCGACGGATTACGACGGCGACTAAGCGCTTGAGCCGTCCCTCGAGCGCGAAGCCAGGCGTTTAAGCTCGTTCTCCAGCACTTGTCGATGTAATCCGTTGTGTGATTCGAGCAACAGTGAGCGCAGATCAGCAAGAGAGACGGATAACAATTAGAGTAGAGGACTAGGGGGAGGGGGGAGGGGGAATTTAGCGGTGCGGAACGTTGGAGAACGATCGTGACGTTTCCGAAAAATCCGTGAGGGAAGATGTGACTCGGGAAGGGGTGCGTCGTTTTCGTTCTCGTCGCTTCGACGAAACAGATGCGCGGGAAACTTGTTGACGGTGCGAAGCTACTCTCACCCGGAGACTTTCTCGAAGCGTCGCCTCAGCCTCTCATCGTCGGCCTCTTCTTCTTCTTCTTCTTCTTCTTCCTCTTCCTCTTCCTCTTCTCTGTTCCTTCTTCTCCTTCTTCGTCTTCGTCTTCGTCTTCGTCTTCTTCCTCGTCTAATCGATCTTTGGTGAACGCGCGCGTCTTAAATGGCAGAGAGTCCAATAAGTAACTCGAAACGCTTCTGTGCTCGACAGGTCAGCAAACACCCTCGGCCATAGCCGCTTCCATTGTTGTTCTCTCCCCTTCCGCCGCGTAGGTGTGGTCGGAATTCGTCGGAACGCTAAAGCATGTAGCTGCCGCTCCGCGACACGGAGCGGTACGGTGGCACTCGACGAGTGTTTTTCACCATTTGATGCACCTTGACGGGCGGAGCCCGTCGAGACGTTGTTGAGCCGTGTCGGTGCACTGTAAGAGTGTTTTGATAATGTCAGCTGAACCGCACGGCTCAGCTATATACGGCGGTTATAGCCGTATTATACCGTTATACCGCAGAACCGATGTGTAGTTGATGGAAAATCCGTTTTCCGTTATCGCGGCCTCTCGAGCGCACGAGACGCTCGTGTGCTCCTCGATCTCACACGCAGTAGAGCGAGCGTAGTAGTGCGCGAGTGGACTTTTCCGTCGTCGTGAGACAGATTCTTATTTCTCTCTTTTTATTCTCACTCCCCTCTCTTGAGAGGGTGAGCAGGGTGAGCGGGAGGAGGAGGAGGAGGAGGAGGAGGAGGAGGAGGGAATCTTCTCTTGACGCGAAGGGGAGGCGAATATTCCATCTGATCTGATTTCAGTCTAACGTGTCGCAGGTACTGTCCCTCGGAGCGGACGTTCTCCCAGAGTACAAATTACAATCTCCCAGAATCCACAAGTGGACCATAATACACTACTCGCCGTTCAAGGCGGTCTGGGATTGGATCATATTGCTGCTCGTGATGTACACCGCCATATTCACGCCGTACGTCGCCGCCTTCGTTCTGTCAGATCCGGATTACAATAGGAAGAACAAAAAGTATAGTGACGAGCCGATCGTCATTATAGACTTCATAGGTGAGCTATCTCTCGCTATCTGGCTATCACTCGCACGTTAACTCGCAAATTTACTACTCGCTTAAAGACGCGACTTAAAAAAGGCAAGACACACACGCGTCGTCGCGTTAATTTTAGTCGCGATTCGACCTATTGATCCTTCATCTTTTATCGGAAACGAAGAAACGGAGCATCGAATGAAGCGCTGAAAACTGAGACTGTTCAACGTCTCGGCTGTAAAACGGCTCGGTTCGAAATTCGATATCGACGCCTGAGCGCCGCTACGCTAACGGCGCAGCCGTTCATACGACGGACACGGATAACACGTGTCACGAACCGGTCGGAAACAACGGAAAGCGAATAAAGAGACAATAGCACGAAAATAAAACGAATGGGGAAGAAATCCGAGAAATGTCTGTACAGACAATTCTGAGAGATATTCTGTGTCCTATCTGCGTTATTTCTCGACACCAAAGGTCGCGGCCGTTCGAGAGCTTCGAGAGCGAAATTTCGAAAAACGCGCGCAATTGTAGAGTCTTACGGAAACGGACAAATCGCACAGAGTGCGTACAGTGTGTCGCATGTGTGCGGCACAATTGCGCGACGTAATGCGGATTTTAGAAACCCTCCCCCCATATCGAATTCGATATCTCTCGACGATTTGTACCAGTCGAGCAGGGGTTATTATACATCGGACTCTCTCTTCTGTGTTTCTTTTAGTCGACGTCACCTTCATTATCGACATCATCATCAATTTTCGCACGACCTTCGTCAACAGCAACGACGAGGTGGTGTCTCATCCAGGAAAGATAGCCGTCCATTACCTCAAGGGTTGGTTCATAATCGACCTGGTGGCCGCCATACCCTTCGACCTTCTACTGGTCGGTTCGGACACTGACGAGGTAAGTTTCGTCGCACGCTTTGCATTCCCTTAGACACGATACCTTTCTTCGGGGCCAGATTTAGCGTTTGCGAGAGAGTCACGTCTTACGAGTCCGGTCTACGGTAAAGAAAACGATAAAGAAAAGAGAAAAAGAGGAGAAAAAGAAAACGAGAACGAGAACGAGAGTGGTAAAATATGATTGACAGACATACACACACAGAGAGAGAGAGAGAGAGAGAGAGAGAGAGAGAGAGAGAGAGAGAGAGATTTGTGTAATTTTTCTTTTCCTTGTTTTTGCTCTCTTTGCCGCGCGAATCTCGCAAGACTCGTTTGGTTCGTTCGGACTGACGATAAAATGGAAAGCGCGGAAAGCGAGAGGTGACTCCCGCGCGGATGCCGGATCGTCGGGCTGTTGAAATTTTCAAGAATGTCAGTGTTAGCTGGTAAATATATGATTAGGATGACATGCCGAGCCCAAGTTACGTGCCCATAGATGTGACTTTACCGGACTGGTGCTTAGTTCGTTTCTCCCTATTTTTTCGACACTTCTCGGTGTTGAATGATTTCTTTTCCTTTGTCGAGAGTTAGTCGAGTCGTCGTTTTTAATGTGCACACAATGTACGTACGGACGTGCGAGAGGGTGCGTCCCGAATGGGCATCTCGCTGTTTCGGACGATTTTACACTATGTTGAGCGTGTGCTACACGTATGTACGTCGCGCGCGCGCGCGATCCACAATTTTACACACAATTTTACAGGAACGCGTGAACGCGCGTCGCAGGGATATATTAGCTCGTATAGAGTCGCGTAGCCGAGCGATGTTTAATGTCGATTTAATGTCGAGTGCTGTTACGCGCAGCGACACGAGTGAACAATTCCTCTGTCTCTCAAACCGACTCGTACCTGTACGCACACGTGCATATGCATATGCATACACTCTTCAAATAAATATGTAAGTAAATATAGTCTGTCGCTGTGAAAATTTCTGCTCTGATTGTCAAAGTATTAGTCAAACTATTATCAAATCCTCGTCAAGATTCTCTTCTACTGTTTTCTTTTTTCTTTTTTTTTTTTTATTTTTCGTTTATTCGTTTCGTTAAACGATTTTTTTGGATTCTCTCTCTCTCTCTCTCTCTCTCTCTCTCTCTCTCTCTCTCTCTCTCTCTCTCTCTCTCTCTCTCTCTTTCTCTTTATCTCTCATGAGTTGATCTTGATTTGTCTCTCCCTCGACCTGTGGAGCGATACGCCACAGTAGAGTGTGACGGGTGAAGCAGGAGAATTATTATAAGTTGACAGAGAGATAGTTTTAGGCGTGCTCTAGGGAAAACGTCGAAATCGTAAAATGACTCTACTTGCGATATTATTATACATTGGATATGTCGCGCTCCCGACAAAACCAACAGGAAGAAAGAAAGTAAAGACCGAGGTATCGCTTACGTCCCCGATTAGTCGGTCTGCAATTAACGAGAAAATTAGTGAGAACACCCGTCTCGGCAATTTGTCTAAAGTGAAGCGAATCTGTTTAGATAAGTTAAGCTCTCTCGCGACATCGCTATCTCGAGTGAGAGAACAAAATGATAACGGTCTGGAAGAAAAAAGTTAAAACTATAAAATTATCTTGACGATATATAAAAGGAACAAATTTTAACATCAGTTTAACGTTTTCGTAGCTCGGCTTGGACAAGGACGAGGTTAGTTGACACATATACACACAAGAAATCCTCTCACTGACGTGTCTTTCTTTTTTTAACTATTAATTAAGTGCGGATTACAGTCTCTCTCTCTTTCTCTCCCTCTCCCTCTCTCTCTCTCTCTCTCTCTCTCTCTCTCTCTCTCTCCCCCTCTCTCTCTCTCCCCCTCTCTCTCTCTCCCCCTCTCTCTCTCTCTCTCTCTCTCTCTCTACTGTGCTGTTTTCACACCAAAACGTCATTAAAGTCATCATCGCAGTCACAAGATTTTTTTTCTCTACTAACTACACCTCTCTCTTCCTCTCCCCCTCCCCCCCTCTCTCTCTCTCTCTCTATCCATCCATCCATCCATCCATCCATCCATCCATCCATCCATCCATCTTCCCAACTTTCTATCTCTCTGCCCTATCTCTCTTTCTTTTTCTCATGTATAAACCGCTTAAATACACGTTACACACTTTGCGATCTTAAATATTCTCGCACAAATCTCTCTTGCAAGATGGACCATCCTCTCGGCGTTGCTACGGCGTTTGAAAAATCTCTTCACGTAACTCACCACACGTACAAGACACCCCACTCGATCACTGCAACCCCACGTATCGACAAGCTCGAATAAAGTTGACGGCAAATCTACCTTGCGCGATGGATTTCTCATTCTCGTGCGATCATCAAAGTGGCGATCGCGGTTTGCGACACGGAAGCCGAATTGTCGTCAACTTTATTCTTATCTGCGATATATTAAAATTACTAACGACCAAACGTGAAAGGATGTGCATGTTTCTTTGGAATTTATTTGTACGAGACCATCTCTCTATCTAATGACTCGCTTTTGATCGGCCCGGCGTTGGTGCAAGATTTGAATTGCATAGAAGCGTAAAATTATAATACACTCTTGAGAAGCCATTTTCTGCGCCTTTTTTTTCTACCTTTGTGCCGCCACGCGAGTTCGCAAAGCCGATCTGCGTAAGTTGCGTGCCATGAGAATATCAATCGACGGAGCTCCCTCCTCCCCACCCCCGCCCCCCCCTCTCCCCCTCTGCCCGCCCCGAATCTTTGTGCTTTGCGGCTGACGATCGAGCGCACAATTGCGCTCTAATGTAGGTTTCCCCAAATGTGCCCATTTACTCGAATGAATGTCAGTTTTTCCCATAAATTATAGATCTTTTTCTTCTTTAGTCGCATTAGCATTCAATTGAATCAAGTATGAAACTTTGATATCTCGCATTGGCACATACTTGGCGCTTTCATCGCCGGGCGGTGACAAGGACGATCCGCAATTAGAAAATATCACAGATTATCGTCGGATTTATCGCACGGCAGAGGCAATTTGCGTCGCGAGGGCTGCCGCGATATCTGGTGAGAGTAATACCATATGGTTAGCTATTGTTTTCTAGTTAGACTACTTCCTTGCCTCGCTATCGAGCTTCGAGCGTCGATCTTGTCTTGCCATTGTCCCTGCGATAATCTCGATTATTCTAGTCGGTACGAAGCACGCGTCGGCAGAACTTTGCGGCGAGATATACCTCTTGTGTATCTGTCTCTCTCTCTCTCTCTCTCTCTCTCTCTCTCTCTCTCTCTCTCTCTCTCTCTCTCTCTCTCTCTCTTCGTTGTTTCTCCCTCTTGCATCCAGCTTCTCGCGACTTTCTTCTTCTATCTTCTCCTTTTTTTATCCTCTATCCTTCTAATAGCAAGTAAATCGACTTTGGGCTTGCTTTATTCGCTCGAGTTTCGCGCGACTCGTCTCCTTGTTTTGTTTGGGGTTGCAGGATGAACACGCTTACTTACTCTAATCGCGTATTTCGCGCCAAGATGTATTATTCTCCTACAAAACCACAGGCAAGCATTCGCGTTCACACCGGTAAGCCGGCACGTACAATACACACGTACACAGACTTGTATACACCGTTGTACGCTTCGAATTGTCATTAATCTGAACGTGCGTGACGCGTGTATTCGTTTTTCTTCCAAATTATCTGACATTTCAGCCGAGACATCACGTTGCATCCTCGGAGAATCTTAAGAGATCGCGACGTGGCATGATCGAAAAACATTTCACGAATTATCGATTGACCTCGAAGAGACGCCGTACACAATCACTTGCGTACACGCACACAGGACACGTGGCGGACTACAGGCGGACGTAGTATCTACCGACGAGCATCACCGAGTAGCAACACTATATATAAAAACACTTTGATTGATAGCGTATCTCGTCGCGATTTCGCTGACAACCGCGCGGTGCGCTTCAGCTGTTTCTTCTTTTCTCTCAATTCTGTTTGAATACTATTTGGTCTGACGGTTCTTTTATTGAGCTTCTTTTGTGCCCTTTTCCATTACGCCTCTGTTGCAAGCCTGTACTGTAAATCGTGTATTCTCGACCGAAGAGAGATAAAACGATCGTGTTCTTCGACTGACCAACTTCACGCGCTCGCGCTTCGATCTCGCACTTAGGCAACATTTGCACTTGTACCGATTGAAGCAGCGGATGAATGATTGAGATATCTCCCATCTTTTGCGCATCTTTCGCGAAACGTCGTCTGTCGTTTGTAAATTATCGTCTGTCTATATATCATGTTATTGCGCTTCGGTTTCGTACGTCGAGGGCCTCTCCACGAGGTGGTTGATTGTCGCGTCAACACTGACGAATTTCCGAGTTGCCTGCAGCGCGCAACAATCGGACAATTAACATCATGCATCTGCTCCTTTGATTGTCGTACATGCTGAGAATGTTTTGTACATAAGCGATTGCGCGCGCGCGCGCACACGCGTGTGTGTGTGCGTGCGTGTGTTTTCTGTCGCTTGTGCGCTTTGTCTCTTTTTTCACGAGCGTGTCATGAGTTTCGCGTGTGTCCAAACGGCGGCAAATCGATGAGATACACGCTGAAAAAGACAAAAAAGAAAGCTATGTATAATATTTTATTAATCCAGAATATATCGAATCGCTTCTCTTTGAATCGCACGCGAAATCTACAACGGTGATCCGTACATTGATCGGATCGTTCACCGGATTGCAACACGATGGACTTTGCATGATAGCTGTTAAAATATCGAGCTTAACCCCCTTTCACTTTGAGAGCGTTCGATCGATGTAAATTTATGTACTTGTTACTGTTTGAATGCTGAAAGTTGTCTTTGCATTTATTCGTTTATTTTTTCCTGCTCTCTGGACACGGAGAGCTTCCTGATCTTTTTTTTTTTTTTTTTTTTTCGGCAGGTAAGAACGAACGACAAGCATGCGTATACACTCTACGTCTTACACATACGTTTTCTCGTTTCCTTTTCGTCGTGTTGATCGCATTGATCCCTCGTTTCCACGTGTTGCTCCCTTCTGTTTTTATGGCGGCGACTGTTTGCAGGCCTATTCAACAAATCTAGAAACGAGAGTGCGTGGCTTGAATCGATATTAAGTCGAGTTCACTGTCGTCCTCGTAACAAGGACGTGCCAAAGTCGTCACTACGCTCTGCTCTCTTGGCGCTCGTGACCCCCCCCCTCTCTCTCTCTCCCCCTCTCTCTCTCTTTCTCTCTCTCTCTCTCTCTCCCTCCCTCCCTCCCTCCCTCCCTTTCCCCTCTCTCCTCTCTCCCACCTTCTCTCTCTCTCCCCCCCTCTCTCTCTCTCTCTCTCTCCGTTTCTTTCTTTCTCCCTCGGCTAAGCATCCCTCTTCTACAACGCGCACGCGCTTCCACAATGCTGCGGTGCAATAGCGAATTAATTTTCACCCTCGACCGCGAATCATCTCCCTCGTCGTCATGCCAAATATAGGTCTGCTCTCAAATTGGCAACGAGGAGAAGCGGCACACCGTGCGTCAAAGACGTACTGGCGGCTTCAACTTTGGTATTTGGGACTCGACGAAATGTCAGCGCCGGCCGCGCCACTTCGCGTACGCAATCGTGATGTATTCCAGCAAGCGGTCGATGTACACCGCTTTGGCGTCGAGCGATTCACAGCCGGCGAAGTGACGACTTCCGGCGAAAATGACACTTTCAACATGAAAATGGTCTTAACGCGACGTTTCATCAGGCTCTTGATAAATGTCGGTGCTTGTAGAGGTAGAGGTGAGGCGAGAGCCTTCGTCGTGTTCCGCGTCAATGAAACACGCAGCCTTGCTCGAACTGAGACGAGCGATTTCACTTTACACGCGCGCGCAGAATCCAAAGATCGAAAAAGATCGGCTTTTAAAGAGAGTGATTCCCGCACGCGCGTTTTCGATGCGATCCACGACGATTCGACGTGAGAGCGGCGCGTTAGTTTCGTGTCTGTTGTGTGTGTTACGCGAGTCACGCGAGTCGTTCAAACACTCGTCGTTTACCGCTGCAAAAAGGCACAATTTTATCCTCGCACGAGCGATTCGCTGTTGAACGGGACTGACGCCAACTTGGCCAACGACGGCAAAGTTAGGTCGTCGTTGGGCGAGGCCAATTTTTATGTGAACACAAAAGTGAAGCGAAGCGGAGGAGGAAAAAGCATCTCGCGCGAAGAAAACACATTCGCGGGCTCGCAAAGAGAGAGTTTGGAGATGGAAAAAATGACAAATTACTTTCAGACGACAACCTTGATCGGACTCTTAAAGACGGCTCGTCTGTTGCGTCTCGTCCGGGTGGCCAGGAAGATCGACAGATACAGCGAGTACGGCGCCGCGGTTTTGTTACTGTTAATGGCCACTTTCGCCCTTATTGCTCATTGGATGGCGTGCATATGGTAAGTGTATGTATGTGTCATCTAGAAATTTCCCCTCCCTTTCACGGTCGTCTTCGATGTCATCGAGACACGAGACAGACGACTGGCGTCCGTCATTGACATCTCCCTAAATCAGCCCAAGCTCCCCCGTTGATCTTCCTCTTTCTGTTCTGTCTTTTTTCGATGGAAAATAAAATCGACGAATCGACGAGTCGTTCGTTCGTTCGTTCGTTCGTTCGTTCGTTCGTTCGTTCGTTCGTTCAAGAAACCTGTAGCTCGTAGAAAAGAGATCCCTCCCGTAACTCTCGAGATAATCTCTCGTGATTCATGCTGAATCATCTCGGATTTAAAGGTACGCCATAGGAAACGCCGAGAGACCGACTCTGAAGAGCAAGGTTGGTTGGCTGGACATTCTGGCCAACGACACGCATCAGTTTTACTTTCACAATAACACCGGCGGGCCGAGCATAAAAGTAAGCCATCCGCGCGAGCACGCTCTATTTGCGCGAGATTGCATATTAGCGGCACGACCTTCCGTGTGTGCAACTTCGTTGTGTTTCTTCACTTTTTCCAGAGCCGCTACATCACGGCGCTTTACTTCACCTTTAGCAGTCTGACGTCCGTGGGTTTCGGGAACGTGGCGCCCAATACCGACGCCGAGAAGATTTTCACAATAATCGTCATGTTGATCGGATGTGAGTGATGCCCGGCGCGGCGATGTACACGGTTTCAATATGGTTTTAGTAAAATTGAGAAAATTGAGAAAATTTAGAAAATTGCGAAACGTCCTTTAGAGAATTTAGAACGCTTAGAAAGCCTCTCTTTCTCTCTTCGGTGCGCGATCTCTTATCTTAATTGTAATCGTAATCGCTTGAGAACGCGATTGAAGATGATCTTGCTGAAACCGGAAACCGCGGAAATTTATTGTCTCGATCCACCGATTTGGTGGTTGATTGGCTGTTCGTCTCTCACCACGGCTACACGGCTTCTATTTCTGCAGCTCTAATGTACGCCAGCATCTTCGGTAACGTTTCGGCCATCATCCAGAGGCTGTACAGCGGCACAGCCCGTTATCACACGCAGATGCTCAGGGTCAGGGAGTTCATAAGGTTCCATCAGATCCCGAATCCGCTCCGCCAGCGATTGGAGGAGTACTTTCAACACGCGTGGACGTATACAAACGGGATCGACATGAACAGTGTTCTCAAAGGGTTCCCCGAGTGCCTTCAGGCCGACATCTGTCTTCATCTCAATAGGAATCTTTTAAACAATTGCAGAGCCTTCGAGGGGGCTAGTCCAGGCTGTTTAAGGTATATCGTCAATCGTCTAATCGTCGAGCCCGTGAATCTCGCGCTCGAGAATCGGTTCGCCGCGGGCGGGCGTGGCAATGATCGGCCCCTAACGAAAAATTTCTCTTTCCTTTCTGCAAAAAAACAGGGCATTATCCTTAAAGTTTAAGACGACGCACGCGCCGCCGGGTGATACTTTAGTCCATCGCGGCGACGTGCTGACCTCCTTGTATTTTATATCCCGCGGGAGCATCGAGATCCTGAAGGACGACATTGTGATGGCCATTCTGGGCAAGGACGATATATTCGGCGAAAATCCGTGCATTTATCCGACAGTCGGGAAGTCGTCCTGTAACGTGCGCGCGCTCACCTACTGCGATCTCCACAAGATCCACAGGGACGATCTGCTCGACGTTTTAGCTCTTTATCCCGAATTTTCCAACCACTTCAGCCAGAATCTCGAGATCACCTTCAACATGCGAGACGTAAGCGGCGCTCTCCTTCCTCTCGTTTGCTCTTGCGCGGAATCTCAATCTCAGCCTGATAACACCGCACCATTTCCACTCTCTCTTTGCTTTCCGCTTTCAATCAGGAGGAGCAAGCTGGTGTCGATCCAATGTCAGCAAGGTTTCCTGTCAGCACTCCGACGGACGTCGAAGTCGACGCCAGGAGATTCGCTTTCCGTCCACCAAGATACCGTCGAGGACCCGGTGGTGGTCCTGGCACAAATCTTATTCCCACAGGTCGACAAGATTCCTTGCAAGACGACCAAGACGACTAGTAAGATTATTCTCTTTTCTCTCTCTCTCTCTCTCTCTCTCTCTCTCTCTCTCTCTCTCTCATCTTACCACATACTCATCTTGTTTCGTATCTATCATGCTGATCTTTCTTATCGTTGCTTGTCGTTGAACCTGAAATGACGAAATTCTCGCGCGAATGAAATCATGAAAAAATTGAAGCTGCTCTGAGCTCTACAGTTTCGACATCTTGCTTGTCACAGTGATAAAGGCAGCGGTCATGGTATCTTAGAGTTCAGCACGGACAAGGCCGGTCAGGATGTGACGCCATTGAATCTGGAATTTGACGAGCCTAAACAGCGAAGCTCGACCTTAAACTCGATAACCGGTGAGTGATCGTTGTACGCCGTCGCATCGACTCTTTCGTCGTGACTCGAAGAAGCGACGTTTCTACATCTCTCGTGTTTGTTCCTAATCTCTTCTGTTTGAGGAATGCTGTTCTTTGCACGACGATAGATCCCCCTCTCCTACAAAGTAGAGTATTATTCCCTTTTCGCAATACGCTCGGCTAGAGATTTCGATACCTCGGACAAACCCTGCAGAGACTTGGCAGACAATTGCCACGCGCCACATTTAGCGCTAAATGTATTCAGAATCGAGAGAATTTTGCATTTTGCTTCTCTAACACGAGGATCACGCCGACCGAGCGTTTGACCACGCGTGACCACGTTTAGCGCTAGATACGCGATATAATCGTAGATCATTCAAATATACATCGATATTGCTCAAGTGTTCTCATCAACCTGTAACGACATCGAAAACGCGTCATTACCCTTTTCGTAGGCTTTCTAAACTGTATCTCGCCTCCCGCTCAATGTGACCCTCTCTCCCTCCCATTTTCTCTCTCTCTCTCTCTCTCTCTCTCTCTCTCTCTCTCTCTCTCTCTCTCTCTCTTGTCCATTACCGATTCTCTTGAGATTTATTTATCCTTTATTACCTCTTTTTTCCTTACCGACTATGCTACCTGTCCATCTACATAGATTCTATCCCTATTCCGTCTAGCTTCCACAACCCTCTGCGTATCGCTTTACGTTTGAGTTCGATAACACCTTGAAACCTGGTTGTTCAGGCATGCTAACCCATCTCAAGCGCAGCATACCGGATCTACATCAGCACAAGATTCACCTGCAACCGCTCACCAGCCACGATTATCTCGCCAAGCAAAGTAAGTAGCCCCGGTACATACATCACATGTATCAACTCGATCGAAAGTCAAGTAGAGAATCGAGCCGAACCGAGCACTCGAGTCCCGACCCTGCGAAGATCCGCCGCAAGCTCGCAGAGAGAGAGAGAGAGAGAGAGAGAGAGAGAGAGAGAGAGAGAGAGAGAGAGAGAGAGAGAGAGAGAGAGAGAGAGAGAGAACGAGGGAGAGAAAGAGAGAGAGAGAGAGAGAGAGAGAGAGAGAGAGAGAGAGAGAGAGAGAGAGAGAGAGAGAGAGAGAGAGAGAGAGAGAGAGAGAGAGAGAGAACGAGGGAGAGAAAGAGAGTATGACTGTCAATTCACTTTTGGGAAGAGAGAGACGCCCGTTGATCTCGCACGCGCGGTGCACGGCACGCCGCGTAACAGAGAATCGCCGTCGATCACATAGCATGAATGATACATCGTATGTGCGTCTGACACAAGTAGTCTATCTCTTTTCTTTTCCTTTTCTTATTCCGTCCGTGCGTACGTGGTAATTCACCGGTGGCCAATAACTTGGTTTAACATAGTGACCACGCCGCTGACGAAACCAGCGCGCCGGAGTTCCGCCGCTGGCGAGAGTTGCCTCAGTCAAAACGTGGTCCATCCCACTTCGACAACGTCGAGCCACTACACCACACCATCGCCCCCGCAGCATCCTCATTCCCATGGTAGGGGCCCATTGTCTTGCGATCACGGTAACTTTACACGCACTCCACTCGTCGAAAGCGCGCACGCGAGATGGAATTTCGTCGCCGCCTTGTATAACATATAAACTTCATCATACGCATCAATCGTATCCGTGTAAAAATAACATCATGGCCGCTGCTGTACCCTATATCTGTCGTCCCGTTAGCTGTCGTGAGCTGTGATTGTGCTATTGTGCGTCTCAGCCGGATCGAGTGCCGAGAACCGAGTCGCCAAGTGAACCCGCTTTTGCGCTTCCAGGCGACTTTCAGAGCGGCCCAGGCCGGCCGCCGGTGGAGGATATCAACGCAAGGATCGACCAGCTGTCGCGCCAGGTGTCCTCGTTGGAGCACTCGGTGACCGGTGACATCAGATTGATCTTGAGTTTGCTTCAGCAGACGCTCAACTCGTCGAGGGAGAGCTCCAGCATCGAGATGATGCCCGGTACAGCGCCGGCCGGCACGAGGCAGGCCGGCGGCAGCAGAGCGCCGGCGTTGGTACAGAGATCGGCGAGCGAGCCGCAGCCTCCGACCGTGCCAGCGAGCAACGGCAACGGCAGCGGTAACGGCAACGGCAACGGCAACGGCAACGGCAAGGTCCAGCCCAGCACGTCGCACGGCTTGTTCAGGTAAGAGTATGCGCGCGCGCGCGCGCCCGCGCCCGCGCCCGCGCCCGCGCCCGCGGCTCAGCAATCTTCTCTGATAGTCACACCGAACGATTCTCCGAGCCGTAGCCGATCACGCGAATCACGAGAATATACTCTCTCTCTCGTGTGCGCGTTGAAAGTCGAAAGTCGAGAGGTTTAGAGGTAGTTGCCGCCAGTGTGAACTGTATCCGGCACCGGCACGCACGACGCCGCGAGCGGGCAATGACGCGTTTCGGGATCGGTAGATAGAAAGGATTACACTTGCAATGATTTCCCGATGCATTTGTAGACTCCGAATAGAGAAATATGTCTCAGAAAGTAATCGATGTTTTTGTTCTTGGAAAGCCTTCTTTCGAAATCCCTGGATCAGTTGCATTTGATTTCGGCGTCTTTTATTTTGGAAAAGTTGGACAAGTTCCGAAGGTGACCACCATCATACTCTTTCTTTGAAATCGACCCTTTGCGAGCAGTGTCACGGGAGATGGAGTCGAGGCGTGAATCACGCGGATGTGGATGTGACATTACAGAGTGCAGAGTAAAGAATTAAAAAGAAAAGGCAAAAATGAAAGAAATAGAAAGAAGAAGAAAGGACGAAAGGAGAAACGTCAACGAACAACTTCCTCCTAAAGGCGATACACCATTGCTGGCACATCATGATACCTAGATACTCGTAGTGTTGTACTTTTTTGACACGTACTTCTCTCGTAGTCGTATTGTCATCTCCAGCGTCGCACGCTTCGAAAGCACATAGCCCATCCAGTATTTAGCAATGCAAGCATCTCGTTGAAGCAAGATTAACTTATTCTTGCGTATTCTTTGTTTATAAATATGACGCTCTTTAACAGTAGGCTCGACTTCTTCTATAATTTGCACGTATACACTTGTCTCTTTTCCTCTCTTATTCTCGTTTACTCGCGTACGTTCTCGCTTACGTATATACTCCTCTTCTCTCTGGATGTATACGCGAGCGACCAAAATCCATTGCTCGACTAGCCTTCGTTAGCCAAAGCCGTATCGCCGAGGGAAACTACCGCTGCTGTCCGCAGCTGCGACGGGGCTTCAACAACGTCCGATCCGCGTCGGCTCGCCCGCGCCGCGCTCGATCTCTCTGCAGATCTCTCTCCGTAGCACGTCTGCCGCACCGCCCGATAATCTGGCGAATCAAGAAGGAAGTCGATCGAAGAATCGAAGCCGATCGACGTTGGCGGGGCCCCGGACCTCTGTCTTTAGCTGTGCGATGTATACAAGTTGTCTCTCGCGCATCAACATCCGCGCAACACCCGTTGTCGTATGCGCACGTTCAAGTAGATGAATCTCTCTCTCTCTCTCTCTCTCTCTCTCTCTCTCTCTCTCTCTCTCTCTCTCTCTCTCTCTCTCTCTCTCTCTCTCTCTCTCTCCCCCTCCCTCTCTCTCTCTCTCTCTCTCTCTCTCTCTCTCTCTCTCTCTCTCTCTCTCTCTCTCTCTCTCTCCCGCTCTCTCTCTCCTCTCTCCCTCCCTCCCTCCCTCTCTCCCTCTCCCCCCTCTCTCCCTCTCCCCCTCTCTCTCCCTCCCTCTCCCTCTCTCCCTCCTCTCTCTCTCCCTCTCCCCCCCCTCTCTCCCTCTCTCTCTCTCTCTCTCTCTCTCTGTCTCTCCCTCTCTCTCTCTCTCTCTCTCTCTCTCTCTCTCTCTCTCTCTCTCTCTCTGTCTCTCTCTGTCTCTCTCTCTCTCTCTCTCTGTCTCTCTCTGTCTCTCTCTCTCTCTCTCTCTCTCTCTCTCTCAATCATCGCGCATTGGATCTCGCCCTTCATTCAGCAGCGTGATCCGCAGCGTGAATCGCAGCCGGAAGGAAACGGGGACGGACGGGTCGACACCGATGCGCAGCGATCGGTCTGCGCCGCGCCCGTGACACTGCTCGGGTGCCAACTTAGAGGATTAGAGGCCTGTCGAATCCCACTGTACATAACCACGTGCTTCAAGTATATATCTCGCAGCTGTCTTTAGCGGTCTTTACTCGAAAGCAGTCATCCAGCGAAAGCGTCGATCCGCTGATACAAGCTCCGCTCCCCCTCTGTAGTAGACCCCCCACGCGGGAACCGACCTCTACGTCGTCGTCCGGAGCGTCCCGACTGACCGTGACATCGGACACGTCCGCGCTGGCGACGGCGTTGCAGACCGCGTTGAACGGCAGAACCGGACCCACGCGCTCGCAGAGCCAGCCCGTCGACCTGGCGGTGCCGACGAGCGCGCAGTCTCATCAAGCTCACGCTTGGCACAGTCAGCCCGCCGCCCTCAGGAGGGGTGAATACAGAAGTGGGTAGGTATAGAGTCTATGCGACCTCCAGCGCCGGTCCACATGCGCGAATGTACCGCCGAAATGCAGTGGCGCATTTTATATCACGCGATCGCGCCATTTCCGAGAGATTGTACCTCGAGAATCTCGACCTCGTGGACGTTGAACCAAACAACTAGTGCGAGAAGAGAAATGCGTCACTGCGCGCCGGCTGCTAAACGTGGATGCCGCGGTGACCTCCCTCCCTTCTCCCCTCTCTTCCGCTCTCCGCACTCCGCACTCCGCATTCCGCCCGTCTCTCCACGTTTAGCGGCCACCGTAGACGCCGAGCCAGCGAGGACGCCGCTGTCACTGCCCTGATAAAGCGCTCCTTGCGACAGATACACCTCGTTCAACAAGCGCTCGGAGCCGGAGAGCGAGGACCCTTGGAGCTGCGTAGTCTCGGTTTCAACGGACCGCGCCGCCTCTCGCCCGCGTAGCGGCGACTCGCGCAAGGACCCCACGAACCATCGCTGCGGCGGCGGCGGCGGCGGCAACGCCGAGTCCACGTCGGGCCAACAGGCAGGCAGAGCGGCAACGGACGGAGCGGCGGTCAGGTCAGAAGGTGGGAATGGGGGACAGTTGGCGAGCGGTGCCCGACAAGAGTCCTCGCGGCAGACTAGCGAGGACATGTCGTGGGAGTTCACGATAAACGAGGCGCCGATCGCCAGGCTCGAGTCGCTGGACGAGCTCGATCAGGATCACGGCAGTTAAGGGGAGGCGCGCGCGCGCGCGCGCCGCGAGGTCGTCCTGTCTGTCGTCAGTTGGGGACTCGCGCGAAACCCGAGGCCGATCGCCACGAGGAGAGATGATCGCCGCGCGCGCTCATCCCGACGAACGGGAACGATGACGGTCGCGGAGAGCGAGAGCGAGAGCGAGAGCGAGAGCGAGAGCGACCGATCGCCACTGTTCAACTCCTCGGCTCCATCTTCATGAAAGGGATCGGACTCGCTTCGCGAGGTTGTCTCATCGCGAGCGACGCGTGTCCGCGGGTCGACCTGGTGGAGCGTGTAGGGTGTACGTTTGAAGGGAGTATATACGGCTCTACGGGGAGAGCGGTTCTCATTTGCACCTAGGCTTCGGAATCATTTTTTTTATTTTTTATTCCAATTATACAGTACATTCTCTGAAAGATACTTGGGACGTAACCGTCATTTCGGAAGTTCGGCAAGTACGAGGGCTGCAAAGGCTTTTCACGCACTAGAAGGAAAGAATTGCGCGCGACAAAGTACACATTGCATTGTAACAAGGTATCGATTGATATTGTATACACGTACAAGCGTTATGTTGCGATTTCTCGCGATAATTCGGCGACATTACAAGAAATCGGGCGATTCTCGAAAGAAGTGAATTCAAGCGTGCGACTTGCGCGCTTCCTTCAATCGTACACGCTTCGAGAGGCCGACGAGCCAGCAAACACTGTGTGTGTGTGTATGTGTGTGTGTGTATGTGTGTGTGTGTGTGTGTGTGCATATGTGAATCCTCCTTTCGTATACTCGAGACAGTGACAGAAGACGGTCGTACACCTCGCCGCGCCTTCATCACCGGATAGCGGCCAAAGTAAGCGTTGTTTCCTCCGCTACATGAATGTACTTTCCTCTCTTGTTATTTGCAAAGTACGACCCTCGTGTCTCGTTGACAGCTCCGCTAAAATTCGGCTCGAACGCGTCACGTGAAGCGAGACTGAAACTGGAATCATCGCGCGAAAGTTCGACCCTTCGCGCGTCCAGCCTCAAGGTGGACAGACGTGACGATCGTGATGGGGGGGGGGAGGGGGGCGCGAACACGCTCGTACTCTCCCCCCTCTCTCTCTCTCTCTCTCTCTCTCTCTCTCTCGCGAGGTTCGTTCCCCGACGGTCATTCGGACAACTCGATATTCGTTCCTTCAAATCGATTTTGTACGCGTCGAAAAGAAGCAAACGAAGCAAGTATACTGCATCGCCAATTGGACGCCAATCGTTTTACTCGCGGGAATTATTTATGTATATTTACACGTCGACACGTATTATGCGCTATCGGAAGAGGGGCAGGAGGGGAATATTTTGGCTAAAGAGAGCGTTTGAAAGTGGAAGAGGACACGCGTTGCGTGCGATGATATCGCGAGGATCTCGGTGGGAGCTCTCGAGCTCGCGGAGCAAAGTCGCGAGGGAGATTTGCGTCTTGCGCGCCAGAATCGGACAGCCGAGAGAGAGGAGACAAATATTTAACGCGTTAGGTACTACATCAAGCGTTCGTATGGTAAATACGACAAAGATTGGAATTCGCGACGCTTGCAGCATGAATACATGGGAGACGGGACTCTCTGTCGGATTTGTCGTACGAATACCTAGGCAACAACAATCTCTTGATTCGCATTATCGCCGCAGCGTTTAGATCGCTAAATACAAGGGAAATGCGAAAAGGTCTTAGGCTCGGCTCGTTCGCTTCGCAGGATTTCCTCCGGTCGGAAGTCGTCGCTTCGCGGAGCGAGAACGGACGCTTTTCGTTTTCTAACGAAACGACTGAGAGAGGAGCATCCTCTCTCTCCTTTTCGTTCTCACTTGTAGGCGATGTTTGAAACGACGGTATTAAACGACGGTGCTCGAAACTATTTTTTCGCGACGCCGGTACGGTATTATCGCGGTAGAATTTAAGCCGGAACATTGGAGATACACGAAAAAAAAAAAAACGATCTTTTTTCCCAATTCAGCCGCCGTACAAAGTAGTAATGTTGTCCTTTATACAGACAAAACGCGACAGCGAGCGATTAGTGTCGCGCATCAGGCGACACGTTAAATAATTACCGATTCTTCTTACTATTATGATTGTTATAATGATTGTATAATTATTATTGCTATTATTATTATTATTATTATTATTATTATTATTATTGTTATTGTTATTATTTCGATCGTTATTATCGCTACGATTGTTGTATAGCAACGGCAGAAGCGCAAGCGCAACGGGGAGAAGACGAAAAAAATGACACTGGCGCGTTAATATAATGCCTACACAATAATATTTACTTCTACATATACATATACGGAAAAAAGAAAAAAAGAAGCAACATGGATGTGTGTGTGTGTGTGTGTGTGTGTGTATATACACACACATATACACACACATTCTATACATTTTTTACAAAGCATTTCGAGCCGCTGCTGCTCCTAAAAACATGTCTAAACAATGGTTTTTCTTCCTCTCTTTTCGTTTTCGTCCCCCCGACGTCTCTATTTCCGCCATTAACATCGCGAACCGGTTAATGCTGGAAAAATGGTGGTTGATGATCCCAAAATGATGTTATTCTCACTTGTCATAGATCTTATAGGTGGAGTTTCAGTTGATTTTTATATTTAGGGCTCACAAGACGTGAAGCGCGTGGTACAGAAACATACAAGGAAAAAGGGGAGGAATCAAATTGACAATTCTGATGCTATTCTCAAAATCATTTATGGATCATCGATCATCAGATCTATTTGTTCTTTGCTCAGTATTCTAGGCTGTAACCAATACATTCGATGTAACGATTAAACACACACACACATACATATACATGACCCGCAGTCTCTCTCTCTCTCTCTCTCTCTCTCTCTCTCTCTCTCTCTCTCTCTCTCTCTCTCTCTCTCTCTCTCTCTCTCTCTCCCTCTCTCTCTTTCTCTTTCAGACATACACACACACACATACACACACACACACACACACACACACACTCTCTCTCTCTCTCTCTCTCTCTCTCTCTCTCTCTCTCTCTCTCTTTCTCTCTCTTTCTGCGACAATGGTGACGCAGCGGCGCAGCGCTAAACGGGAAAACGCAGCTTTCGATTTTGCAGATAGCGATTTTTTAATTGTTCAAATATCAAGTAGTAGACATAGCACACGTGGATTCTCGCACTTAGATAAGAGGAAAAAACTGTACGCGTTTAGGTGATCCTTTAGGAAAAAGGAGAGAGTCCGGCGTGGTCTTGACCGAGGGCGGCTGCAGCAACGTTCTTTGAATCTCTCCAGGCACCTCCGATGGTCTCTATGATGAAAATACATATCGCCGCCTGGATTTTATACATAACCAGGTTTATCATTCTCACAATAAAGAAATTATCCTATTCTTCTGAGAACGTAAACAGGGGCTGGTACCCCAGATATTCTAATAATCGCTTCAAAGAGATTAATTATTTATATAAAGCAATCCCTGATTGGTGTGCTTCATTAATTGGCAAACGCCGTTATTGGATAAATTACTTTTTTCAGAATTGTTTGAAAAGTAGACTACCTTTTTTCTTTTTTCTTTTTTTCATCTCTTTTTATTCGAAGAACACTTGAACTGTAACTGGTTAAATCGAAAAGAGCAGTTAAGAATAATTACATCTGCTTACAGATAAAACTGTTTTATTTTATCCATTGTATTTTATTATGCGCGATAATTCACGTAAAGTAATATTTCAAGATAATTAAAATTTAAAAATATTATTTCTCTCTCTCTCTCTCTCTCTAATACTTGGAAATAATTTGTAGAGACGAGAGAATTGCAAAAGATCGTGCAAAAGATTGAACAAGTCAGGTGCAACGACAAACGTGGCCGCCCTCGGACGCACAGAAATAAATGCAGCTAGCGAAGACGCAATCGGGCACGCAAGGCACGAAAGCAGATATTACGCATGATCGAGGATTTATCTCCCTTGTGTTGAAATTATCAGTTGCACTCGAATGTCACGCGACGCGCAATCGGTGTCGCAACTTTAACAACAACAACAACAGCAACAACGACTCCGACTTTTTCTTGAGCAAGCAATTTTGAGATTAAGAAACACGTTTGAAGGTATTTTAACACGTCACACACCTCGCGGGGAACATATGTAACATATTTTATACATAGTGTCTGCGCCCAATTATAAACCTATGCTGTGAAAGACATGCGTCGCTTCTTCAATTCTAAAGTAAGGGACCGAGAGAAAAAAAAAGATAAACGAAGGTAATACGCACGCGAGCAAAAAAAAGTAACTAAGTAAGAGGAAATAATCTATGTGCTCGTGAAAATCGATCTCAACATGTCAGTATCTAGTAGATGTTCACTGCACGCGACGAAACGATTTCGTCACTCGATAGAAGCGAGATGCCGTTAATACTATTTTCGCAAGCGTCGCAATTTCTCCTCATCGACCCGTGTAATGAGAGGACGAAGCTGCGAAGCGGTGGACGAATGACGAATGCAAATCGCGTGGAATGCAGAGCGTCGCTCTCTCTCCCCCCCCTCTCTCTCTCTCTCTCTCTCTCTCTCTCTCTCTCTCTCTCTCTCTCTTTCTCTCTCTCTCTTTCTCTCACTGTCGAAGTCTTTCGAAAGTTCGGTTCTAATTACCTAATTAATATCCGACTTCTCTTAAAGACCTTCGATTAAGGCGCTCCGTCACTCTGCCACACTTCGCATCTGCCTGTTTAGAGAAAATTCCGCGAAGCTCACGCATTTCTCTCGCGGAAACGCCAACCTTTTGGTCTCTGGCGGCGTTGCTTAGAAAACTAAGTTGCTTACGGAAAGGATCGCAAGCTCGTTGATACAAGAAGGGAAGAGAAATCGGCCGAGAGATCCTCCCTTCCTCCCTTCCTCCTCGTTTAGGATGTTTCGCGACTCTGCCTGGCGCATACTTCGTCCTTCGTCTTTCGACTAACGACTATAGCGAGTGATCACGCACGAATCTCTCATCACATCTTGATGAACCTTGATCCCTCAGATTCTCAATCTATCTCGCCTGCCCGCCGATGAAAAGAAACGCTACGATCTCTCATCGAAGCCGCCTCTCGCTTTTTCTCTACCGCGGTTGGCCCGCGTTCGCGCGCCGAGATACGCACAGACGACACGTAGCGTGAGACGTTCTCTGCGTCAGATTCTCGCGTCGCAGGACCTGACCGAAGCAGCATCGATCCCGAATCTCAATTTCCAGAGCCGAGTCTTTCGTTCTGCAGAAAAGGAGAAGAAAAGGAGAAGAGAAAGAGAAGAAACGCGTATTCACATCGAGCGTATTGACACTCGATTCGAAAGTGCGAAACGAGTGTCAAAACTAGCTGAGACTTTATTAACGAATACGCGGACGTCAACGAGGACGTCTGAATGACATACTCGGCGATGGCACGGCGAATCGAGATCGAGGCAATCTCGCGATCACGAGAGCGTCGAGAGGATTGCGCATCGCCAAGTTCGAAGTGAAGCAAAAAGGAAAAAGGAGAGCCAAGACCGGGGAAAGTCCCATCCGCGGTAGACGAATTTACTACTCGCGTTCTTTACCCAGATTTCAAACCCAGGTTTAAAATTGTTCTGTATATACATATGATATAATCCTGGATTGTACGGTTGTACGCCGAGCGCACTGATTTGTAACACATAACAAGGAAATTGGTTCGGAAGTGAACGTAACAGAGGAGAGACTTCTTGCGCCGCCCCTGCCCCGCTCCTGCCCTCCAGCTAGCACTCCTGACCGCAGAACGGGAGATGACGGATCCCGAGGGCTCGTTACGTTATCATACCCGTATGATCCGCTCTCCCGAGAGAGAATTACCGAGAGAAGTTTGATCGAGCGGACAATCTTCGACGGGAAACCAAAATTCTTCCCATTCGACGTCATTTTGTCTGTTTAAAAAAGTGGGAAATTTTCCTCCCTTCTTTCCTCAACTAGAGACAATTTGTCATCTCAAGTAATTTCTTATCTTTCCCATTGGAAATTGGAAATTGGGGCAGATTCGATCGAAGCAATCAAAAGCAATCGATGGCGATCGGCGGTGGAGCAGCAGGTGCTGGGAGTGGGTGGCGGTGGTGACCGAAGGCGGTGGTGACGAAGCTGTGTTGTGTGTATCTATAAGTTTTCATATATTGCATAAAATATGTTTATTACATATTTTCACTATGCCAATACGCGTTTGTTGTTGTTTGTTGTGCGCCTCACTACATCCGGTCTCCTCGTACCGTATCTCTACCGTATCTCTCGCCCTTTGTCCTAGTCATTCCGCATTCAGTTTCCGCGTAACCCCATGTAATCTTTCGCTATGTTCGCTATGTTTTTAAATAGATCACCATTGATCACTCAATACTCGACAAACGAAATTACATAACATTGGACGATTTGTCGTCAATGTTTCGTTATTCGACAATTAGCGACAGGATAACATGATTTATCATTTTTGTCATTATTGCGTTGCTTTATTTATTCATTTCTCACGTCGAAAGTACATCAGAAACGGGATGAAAAGACGGCAAGATGGAAAATGGAATTTTGAAAAATTAGTTGTACGTACACGCGTTAGAGGGAGAGAGAGAGAGAGAGAGAGAGAGAGGGAGAGGAAAGAGGAACAAGGAGGAGAAAATGGCGGGCCACCAGGATAAATAGAGTAATTCGTCCGTCTGGCAGCATGATAGATATGATCATTACCTCATGACAATTTATCGAATACTGCCGTTGTCGAGATTCGAAGGGAAATCACTATATAGGTAAGTGAAAACGTCTCGCGATGAATATTACGACAGACAGGACCCATGCCAAGCATAATATGTCAAATAAACGAACTGCTTGTGTCATCAGTGGCCGAGCCGTTTACGTTCCCTTCGGAAGAAACGCTTTCATTTATCGTTTCGCGAAATGTAATGCGACATGTTGATACTGAGCTGACTGATCCGACCAAACTAAGAGCTACCAAGAGCAGAAACGACAGTTTTCTTCATTATCATCGCGCACATATTTTTAATCGGTGTACACGTACGTTGTACTTTTTTAATTCTTATCAGCGCTTAGTGAAGATAGCGTAGTGTCACGAATCCGGCCGAATAAAGGAATATTCGCAAACAGAATCCTCGAAACTGTCGCGTTTAACAACTCGATATGTGGTTGATTTAGTAATCACCTCTCGTTATTACGCAAAACATATGATACAGTTTGCGGATTATATCCTAATCGACTAGTCGGCTCCTCCCACTTCCCGCGATTTTACAATCGAATATAAGCCGACGTCGCCTAACGACATACTTTCTATTCTGTATCGTCGAAAGGACAATGGAGATAAAGAGACCATCACATGGCGATGGTGATTTTTCGGTTTCATTCCGTGTGAACGACATGTACGACCGGAATCATTTTTGTATGTAGCAAACGTACAGCGAGCGATCGCTCAAGTTTTACAATCGAAGAGAAGGTCAGAGCTATCTGCTTGTGAATTGAAAGTCTTTCTTAGAAGCTGAAAATTAAGTACACAATAGTATACAATCTGGACGATAGAGAGTTACGTAAGTAAACATACGATCGTTTCGCTTGCTCCTTTAAAATTGTCACAATCGACGACTGATTCATTAAGAACTTGATGACAAAGTTAGACAAAGTTGTCCCTTTTCTCCTGGCATCTGGTCGATGCCAGATACGAGTATAATCATGGGAAACGTACGCAACGCAACGGATATATCTATCGCTTACGCTACTTATTCGTCGATTACGTATATATCGTGTATACATCCGTATGTGACGAAAGACAGAAGGCGAAAGACGAAAGCGCATCGCTCTTTATTTCAAGGAGACGTTGGATACATGTTTTATTCGGCAACTTTCGTTCGCGTGATCCGACTCGCGAATTTCCTCCAAAACCGCGTCTGTGTCCTTCCTGTGTCCCGCCTTTCTACGCTGCACTCTGCGCATAATTGCATTATGCGTCGCATTGGATTTTGATCGACCGTCGTGGCGAGATTGCATTAACGCGATGGAATTCGAAAAAGAAAAGACGCGAAGAAGAAGTGATTGTATTATGCTTCGCGCACGCGCCGATGCGCCTCGGAATACAAACGACGTCGGTATTACTTTATTACGGTGTCACCGCGCCTTTGCGTTACGACACATTTGAACGCATCGTTACGTATTTGCCGTGTGTTGTGCAATTTTATTTATTATTAATTTGAGCACACAGTTAATTGCGTGTACTGTCTATGTGCTAAAACACGAGATCGTATTATTAACGCGCAGAATTTTCCACAACACGAAACAACGAACATTTTCATCAAACACGAAATAATCATGCCGCTTATTTCGCTTTATTATGATATTTTTCTTCTTATCGATCGCTTTAATTATATTTGTTACCGTCGTTATCTTTTATACGTTAATATCTCTTCTACGAGATGATGCAACGCGCGCCAGCAGTCAACACTTGAAGAAAGATTAAACCAGTGACTTTTCTTCTTCCTTTCCTTCGTTCAAAGAATGAACAGATGTTTCCGGGGGGAGAAGATAATTGAGGCCATCTAAAAGTCATTTTGCAATTTGAAATACATCTAAATTGCGTATTTACTCAATAACGCCGTTTATTCGCTATGTATACGAAGTGATATCGTCAAATCCGCTTAATTCAGCGTTCAGCACATAACCCGGTGCTTCGCAATATAATCGCGAGTGGATGTGAATTTTGGCAACTACCGCGCAGCAAGCAGAATACCACTTTCTTGATAACCGGTAAAGTGGGAGTCGGTATAAAGAGAGGATATAGTCGGCGGTGATGGTCAGTGAGTTCTCAGTGAGAGTGCCGTGATCGTTTCACCGTTCCACCGTTGAAAGTCAAATATGAAGGTACGCGTCGTCACACACGTCACACACCGTGTTCGCTCCCTTCGAATTTGTGAACCAATGTGTCCAAGTGTCGACAAATATTTATATAACGTCGATCGAGCGGAATACTACGGCACGTTATCATCGTCATCGTTAATGCTCACACCGATATATGTATTATATGAGCCACGTTCAATCGCGCGAGAGATCGCGCGAATGGCGGTTTTCAATGTTGACAATTGTCGAAACGCTTGTCTGGAAGATGAATATGAATGGAGAATTTTTCTGAGAACGGCGAACGCGACCGAGCGAACGTGACGTGATTGTCATAGCGGATTCGCTGTGCGAGACGCTGTTGAGATTTTACATTGTTATTCTTATCTTCGAATGCACAGCCGTTCTAAACTTTCGTACTTCTCATCATCCTTTCCCTATTTTGCTGTACGTTTCATGGCTGCGCCACTTGAGCGCGAGGCGCCTCGCTTCTCACCCACGTGAAAGTCCGATACGTCTGGCCGTAACCTTCCTTCGACGAGTCGTCCGACTCGTCGCCGCGAGAGTTTCACACGCAACAATGAGGAGAATTGTGCGGGACGAGGAGTTCCTTTTTACAGAGGTTGCGACTCGTCGCAAAGGAAAAATAATTAACAACTAACGCGGCTGTCGAAAGTTGTGTGCATTCGCTTTCTCACTTGTCCGCGGCAGATGGAAAGTCTCGAGCTGCTTGCTAAAAACATTACATTGCTCGATAACACATCCTCGTGTGTCCGATTGCAATTTGCACGGGTTCTAATGTCTCTTCAATCTCTTCAATCACCTCATTATCGCCGTGTAAACAAGAGCGTGGAAATAAAAGCTTCCGCTTCCAGAAACGAACGAGCGGCGCGAGTCAGACGTGCCGCCGTCGCCGGTCGCTCTTTTCAACGACAAGTCTTTATTCTTCCGGAGAAAAATGTTTATCCTTCATCAGTCATTCTTCGCATCGCATCTCTGATCTCTCTGTCAAGCGCTCTCGCGATCGCTTGACGATCGCAACAACGATCCATCTGACACTGTCTCGACCATTGTCTGGCGTTATTTTCTGTCCTTTTGTAAGTACAATTAAATTAAATTAAATTAATACCTGTCAATTTTGGACGCTTTCTAAGCTAATCTATCGGGCAAAAGACGGTGAACAAGTCGGTGAGAGATCCAGGCGGCAATAAAAGCGCTCGCGAGGTGAGCTCTTACATCGAAAGTTATTCAACAACTTTCCTACATTGCTTCGAGAGCAGACATTGAAATATTTATCCGCAATCGCTCAATTGCCGGCTTTTTCTTTTCGTCGCTTTTTTTTTTTTTCTCTAGAAATCCGAGAGCGAACGAACATGCCGACGAGAACTAGGTCAACCGCGATGACTGCGACTACGAAGATCAAGGTCACGGTGTTCACTTTCGCCTGTTCAAGCAGGTCGATGTTTCCGGGGTCGTGAGAGAGATGGGTCGTCTCGTCCAAAGTGCAATCTCCGATCGCACTTTTCTTCCTCGAAATTACGGCAATCTACCGATGTGCCGTAAAATCTCTTTTTTCCTCTCTCTCTCTCTCTTCACTCGCGCTGCGATAAACAGTATCGTATCGCTTTGCTCTTGCGCGCCGCGAGAGGAACTCGCACGCATGCACGCTCGCGCATCCGAACTGATTAATTAATTGTGCAACTTTTCTTCTACGTTTTAGCATTAGTTTGCAGATTTTCAGCAGATTCTCTTCGTCGCTTACTTACTGGCTACTTGTGTGAAATCATTGAGCGAGATCGCGTCGATCGATCGTTTTTACCTCGAATCATGTATGGCGACTCGCATAGCACAAGCGGCTCGAACTGCCGGTATATAGTCGCGTGACTTTCACCCAGAATCGCTCTACTTACTCGCCGCGCGTTCGCATTGACGTGCTCCGCGCTTGAACAATTCGGAAGTCAACATACGTCCCTTGACCAAATGAGCCGTCACGAATTCAATTACGACTTAACAATCCCGAGAGAGATTCGCGACCAGATAGTTACGCGCGCGCGCGCGCGGTCCGTTATTCGTCGCTAACCACCCGCCGTCATCGCCTTTGTTTTGCTTTCTTTTTTCTTCTTGTAGTGCAATTATCAGGTCATACTCGTCTCCCCATTCCCATCGTGCATTTCAGCTGACGGGATTCTTGATAGTGACGTGTTGCTCCATAATCGCCGCGCGACCGGAGACCGAGGATCAGGAGTTGCTGAAGAGGGCGTCGAAGCAGCTCGAGCGATTAACGCCGTATCGAAGGAGGAACGCCGATCGAGATCTCGCGCTTGACTTGGCGAACCTGCTGGAGACCTGGGGGCCTCCGCTGGGTCAGGACGACGGCGGCGGCTCGAACGGCGGGACGAGCGAGGTCGACCAGGCGGACCAGGGCGTAGTACCAGCGTGGGAGATAGTCGGGATTCCGCTCGGACGGACAGAGGCGGACGAAGCGGCGGCGAAACGGGCGGACGACGAGAAGCGATTAACAATCGACATCGTCGCCGATCCCGAGTACACCGCAATGATGCAGGAGAGGATAAAGCGCGGCTTCAACGCCGGATCCGCCAGTCTCATCACCAGCATAGCGGGCGGCGTGCTCAGCGGTATCGCGAGCGCATCGAGCGGTTCCGCGGCGAAAGCGTCATCGAGCAGCAGCAGCAGCAGCAGTCAACAGGATTACAAACCGGCTTACGGCCCACCCCCCCCGGTTTACTCGGTAATGTTTACTCGCTCTCGCATTCATCACGGCGCGTAATTAATCTCGCGGCGACGCGGACTCTCGCTTCCTCCAGTCCTCGCTTTCTTCCAGTCTTCCTTTTGTGATAGATTCAGGGTTAAATAAACACGGCACGCGGAAAATAATAATAAAAATGGAGAAAAGCAAACGAATGAAACATTGCTACGTAGACGCAATTCTTTCTCACTCTTGTATGAAGATTAACGAGCGAAGATTCTAAGATTCGTGGCGAATCTTGTGTCTCGGTGTGGTCGGTTTGCAAAGTACAGTACACACACACGCGGAGATTGTAGGTCGTCAAAATTGAAACGACAGTCGTTTTTCCGAGAAAAACCCTCCCCTCTGTCTCCTCTGTCGGGCTCGTATGCTCTGCAATTTCACACTTTTGCCCGCTACGCTACGCGTTATATCGTCTCGCGATATGCCTCTTTCCGCTTACAGACATACAAAACAGCTATGAACGTGCTTGAAAGTAGAAATTACGGCACTGGACTTAATTGAACGGTAATTATGCGTGATAACGAGACATCGAATTACATCGGCTGGAAAACGCGCTTGCATCATATAAAATAGATTTAGTTCTCTCATCCTCCGACCTTACGTGATATAGTACTGCAAAGACGCTCTAACATCTCAGTCGCATTATTTCTCCAGTACGAAGAGAAGCCCTTCGGTGCTTGGGACTTCAAGAAGACGATTTTTAGCACAGTGTTTCAAGCTCTCAAGGCGATAGGCGGCGGTGTGCTGGCTCTGAAGGGACAACTGGTCAAGGGTGGTGGTTACTTGCTCGCGGCTAAAAGCAAAGTTATCAGTAAGACTGGGGACGTTATCACGTCTTTTGGTAAACAACTGACGAGTAGTGTGGCAACCTATCCAGCGTCCTATCCACCGGATACTTACACGTACGAGCAACATCCGCCGGTTCAAGACATAGGTGAGAGTGAGACCAAATCTCGCGTCAAAGTCATCACCAAGATCCGACTAACTCTCTCTCTCTCTCTCTCTCTCTCTCTCTCTCTCTCTCTCTCTCTCTCTCTCTCTCTCTCTCTCGATGTGCTACAATTGTGCTTCATTGGATCCAGTCGTGGCTTGCGAGATTCTTTCTTCCAGCAGTTTCAATTTCATCTGTAAGAATCGATAGTTCTTTGTGTTTTGCGACTTTTCTTGTGTGTTGTGTCTGAGACTTTTATTCTTATTCTTGTTGCCTTTACTCTGTAGGAGAACTTACAAGGAGAAAATTTACTCACTCCTCTAATCGGGATATTACATTGGGATTGTATATACATTTCTATATAAAATTTATCTATATAAATTCATTGGTCCTTTAAATTTACAAACTCTAACTCTTTCATCACAGTGACACATCGAGAGTTAACATTTGGGTCGAATTTCATCGAATTTTCTCATCATTCATCAATCGTAGGAGAGGATACGTGGTTCGATGTCCTTTTAGTAGCCAGAAAGAGAAAGAGAGAGAGAGAGAGAGAGAGAGAGAGAGAGAGAGAGAGGGGGGGAGTGAAAGCGCCAGTCGGATCCAACTCGGGATAATTTTGCATAATGTAACGGATTTCATTGCCTCGAGACAATGAAAAGATTTGCCCGAAACCTCGAGAAATGAAAATGGATGAACCGTAACACGCGTGTCGTAAGCGTAACACGCGTTTGCCACTACACACCCACAAAGACCACGCATACGCTTTCTACTCGCGCGCGCGCGCGCGCTTGTGTCCGTCCACGCCGCGCTTAACCGATTACTCGGTGGAAATCGATCAAAAACGTAATTCCACGTCTGGAAATGATGACGGAGCGTAGAAAGCCATTTTAGCGAGTACGAGTCAGCCGATTATCCGCAAACCCGGATACTTGGCTGGTAATCACGCGTTTGAGACGCCTAACCGTGCATTATTCGCTTTTCTCAGATTCATTCGATAGAAGCGATAACAATCGAGTGTTATAACCATGTCGAGAAGCTCGAAATATATCGTGCTCAATGGCGGAACGCGCACTCATTGCCGCGCAATGCAAAGTTCTCGTTACGGTGTTTGCTCACCGTACATCTCACTCTACATTCGTCTCGTATTAATCGAGCATCGGACAAGACGCTGACTGTGTTATTAAATATTTCTTATGTAACGACAGAACACGATCCCAATTACCAAGGACCACCGCCGAGCCCTGACGGGTATTCCGAAGCGAACGATTATCCTCCGCACTCGGCGTACAGCGTGCCATCAGACGGTAGGTTTCACCTTCTACCTAAGTGTAGCTGTAAACATCGCAAAGTGAATTCCCAGTGAAATTGTGTTTCTGCCCTGGCTCCCTTCTACGTTACCTTTGCGCCTTTCCGGCAATTAATCCGCGAGAGCTCGGAAATTACGCGTTGATGAGAGGCGTTTAATGAATGCGCGGGCATTTCCGCGTCCGATATTTCTCCGAGGGGAGGGGATTCCTCTTCGTCGTCGAAGAACGAAGACGAAGAGGAATCTTTCGTTTCCGCTGAGAAAGGAGTGGTAATTAAAGAATCTCTTCGCTTTCCCCTTTCGAATTTCAAATGTGCATGAAATGTGGAATTTACATCCTCTTACTGTTTCGATACGAAACTCTCTGAGAGAGGGATTCACACAGTGACGTTTCCAACCAAGTTCGTCGAGAGTCGGCTACCGCTTTCACTAATAAATAAGTAAATTTTGTCTCTGGGGCGAAGAATTGCGATTGACGATATCCTAAATGTTCGATATTCGCTAAATTGCCGAATTGGCGTTCTCCTTAAACTCGCTCGCGAAACTCCTCTCATCAGCGAGATATGTTCAACGAGTTTCCCTTTCCACGTATCGCACGTCGCGAATCGCCAACGAGCAACGCGCGGTGAATGTCAACGTCCTCTTTCCAACAAGTTCCTTCGTCTCACGACCGCAAGCGTACCGCTCCAGTGTTGTACCCGCGTGTACGGGGGTACGTCATCGAGCGCACACACCCATCGAGCCCTTCTCCACCTTTCACTTTCTCCAAAAGTTGCGGCCAAAGACTCGTTTTACTCGGCATACTTCCTTGATCTCTCCGAATACCGCACACCGACGGCCGGATATAGCAGGCGTACGCAACGCTTTGCGAATCACAAATTCTTTTTTGTCTAAACACACGAGAAAATGTCGTTCCTGAGGGAACATTTGGAGGGGGGGGAGGGGGCGGGGAAAAGAAAACAACAACAAATCCGCCAAATGCTCGATAAATTGCGTGTCTCTGGATAGATGAAAGAAAAAAAAAAGAAAGAAAAACAGCCCGCATTTGTAATATTTGTAAGCGTTTGCACAAGACGACAGAATAAGCTCGTCCTTAGAAAATTTACACCTCTGGGACTTCCCCCTCACTCGGACGCAGAAGCAGAACGCGCATCGTCCCTCTTTCGTGTCTCTCTGCGTGTGTGTCACAACGAACCCTGCGAACGAATTGCCTGCGAATTGTCTGCGTAAGTGTCCGTTGATTATCGAATGCGAATTGTGTCACGTTTTATTCTACATTTTACACCTGCTCGATCCCGTTCGATCGCAGCTCGTGGCGCACACACACACACACACACACACACTCGTGGTCTCGCACTCGCGCAATCACGTGCTAATCAACCTCGACGGTATATATATACCGCGCATACCATCCCCCGTACTCCTTACTTAAACTCAAACTTGACTAACGTGTCGTGACGAAAGCAACAGCTTAACATCCAAGCACCGCAAATACGCAAATACGCAAATACGCATTCGCGAGAGAGACTTTTACGCGACTGACAGACGTCACGTTCACAGACAATAATCAGGGCGGCCTGCTGATCGTGACGCCGACGAAATCTGACCCAGACGACCACCACCAGGACGCGAACTTAGCCGAGGTGAAGCCAGACCTTGCCAAGTTAGAAGAAAGTTTCGGTGGCCCGACATCGGGCTCCGCCATCAAAGACTTCTTGATCAGCACGGTGCACAGCGCGCACGGTAGCGCTGGCGGCGGCAACGGCGGTGGCAGCATCACGACCACGAATCACCAAGCCGCAAGCATCGATTACGACAACAACATCAACGTGAATTCTCACGCGAATCCTCCTATCGCGCATCCAGCACCGATCTATGGAGCGCCCGAACATTATTATACCTCGCATCACGACCAACCGACGCAGAGCTACGACAACTACCCCGTAGTCGATCATGGGAACATTCACCATGATCATCAATCGGAGCTGGCGGCAGCGCTGATTCCGTCGTCGCATCATTTCCCGAAACTGGCCGATCCTCCTCATCTGTCCATCCAGCAGAGCGTAGAGTACCCACCGCTGCATGTGCAACAATTCGGTAGCCCGCTGTTCGAGCCGGTGTCCAAGTTACCGCTCTTTGAGCACGACGATGGCATGTCGGTGCACGCGAGTCTCACTGTGGACACCGAGCCGAAACTCATGCCCTTCAAAGTGCCTCTGCTGCCGCCGAGCTATCCTGGCACTTTGAACAGCTTGCCCGAGCTGCGGCCGCACGTAGATTTTCACGGACAGCCAGAGTTTGCAAATGTTCACAACAGTTTGGACGGTCCGCTGAAAATACAACTTTTGAACCCGTTGCCAGCCTATTGGCATTGGCAGGGCCAAGGTTCGCTCGCGCCGGCATCAACTTTCGGCGCGTCGAACTCTTTTCGTAAGAGAAATGTCCTGCACAGACGGACGTTCTCAGCCGGCCGACTCAAGCGACGTTACTCGTCGTCGCAGGCGACGACGGCCATCCATCGGCTGTAACGGCTCGAAGCAGGTAACGCAGGTCGGCAGGCGTGTAATGTACAGAGAGAGAGAGAGAGAGAGAGAGAGAGAGAGAGAGAGAGAGGGAAGGAGGGAGCGAGAGGGAACGAAACTTTTCGAAAATCTCGCGATATTTATCGTGAGATTAATGTTTCGATACCTTGGATCGGACATTTATCAAATACTCGAAACGTCATGAAATAGGCAATATTAGGTGAGCAAGTGAGAGATGAAGAGACGCGAGAGAGGTATCGGTTACGGATTTCCCGGATCCGCTATCGTTTTTACGGCCTAAAATGCAAAATACTTGCGCGGATTGTTGAATAATATTTATCTGTCTGCATCTCGAGAGTAGGAATACGTCTGGACACTTTCTGACACATTTTATTCGAATGTGCGAGATCATTTGTCCAAACAAAATCGAAAAGAGTGACATTTTTCTCGACGCGATGTCAATATTTCTCTTTTCTTTCTTTTCTTTTTTTCCTTACATCTGCCTCGCACATTCCCGCAGCAATATCAACGTATACTTTAATATGCGCACGCACGCTCTTTCTGTTACAGTAATCTACGCGTTCGCGTATTATCCACACTCGATCAAATACAAGTACAGATTGCCGTATCCTTATTACGGACGATAAGGACTTCTGGTCCTTGGGCAATCGCGCGGGTATTACTTGCGTTACCGCAGAGCGGGCAAATCGATCAGCGGGAGAATCTGTCGAATTTTTGGAAGTCAAGATGAAGAGGAGCACCTGATAAATTCTCAACGAGTACCCGCATCCGCATCATGAAAGGCGCATCTGTATCAGAAGGTTACGCACACCGCACTACGCGGAAATTCCTCGAGAGAGAGAGAGAGAGAGAGAGAGAGAGAGAGAGAGAGAGAGAGAGAGAGAGAGAGAGAGAGAGAGAGAGAGAGAGAGAGAGAGAGAGAGAGTTCATGTCTTCCCCATCTAAAGGGAAGAAGGGGACTTCTATTTCTCATATCCACCTTGGGATAACTTGTACATATGGTTCAGCTGGCTGGCTGGCAAAATTATCACATCATGGATTCTGTCGGCAATTCTGGGACATCGAGACGTTCTGAGACCCGGAGAGATCAATCAAACAAATACGATGATAAATAATTTCTTGTTACTTGTGTATGATAATTATTATTATTGCGACTGTGTATGTTTATAATTTAATTTGTGATAAAAAGACTCTCGTTGTTCCATATCTTATTTTCTCGCCCGTCAGTGTCGATCGTGGCGAATCTGAACGTAAGTCCGTAAAACAAAGGTTACATTGTAGCTTATATGAAGGACTTACAGCCATTAGAAGAAGGGCTTAATGTTACCTATGTGTAACGGTTTCTTTAAGTAAACGAATGTAACAACTTAATTATTATCTTTGTTTAAAACTCACCCCTTCGGATTTTCAATTTTTCAACACAGTAAAACTCCACGTCGAGTCAGAGAGATTTTTACACTCGATTGATATCGCCGCCGAGTCGTACAACTCGTCGACGTCGAAGACAAACGTTCACCCGTCGTTGAGTCAAACTTAAATTTAAAAATGAAAATCTTTTCTCACTTCACAATTTGAAAATAAAAAGATCTCTCATCCTCATCGTTGAGTTCTGCTGTATAACAATAATAAGATATTTTTACCTATCGTTGAGTCACATTTTTGTAAATAAAAGCGTCGTTTGACGTTCAAATACGTACGTTCAAGTATGCTGAGGTTCAGATATTTACATTGTACTCGAGATGTTATCAAATAGACTGTTGACCACTATTCAGCGTGTCCCGCTTTCCGAGTGAAGGAACTCAAATGGACACATCGTCACAACACAACTGAGGCACTGTAGAACTGAGGCACTGTTGCTTATAATATTGTTTGGAACAATTTGACTTTACATCAACACGATCAACACGTTATTTCGCAGTCGAATGAAATTAATACGTCTCACTGGAGTACAATCTACAAGAGAAAAAAATATTTGTAAAAAATTTTGTCACATGAATAAGAAATATTTGAAGAAATTCAAATTTGTGTGTCACTTACATGATGCAAAGAGAGAGAGAGAGAGAGAGAGAGAGAGAGTGCAATAGATTGGAAGAAATTTTGTACTTGATAATTAGAATTACTGTCGGCGAGCGTATAGGAAATAACAGTCTAAGCGGCCCGTTAATCACATTTTGCCGATTCTGCTATTATCAATGGCAAAATATCTGTAAATCTCCACCGCGCGCACCGTGCTGTAACTGTCAAATGCCTACGTAAAAGTATGAGTTACTTCTATTACCATTTATGCTTATTTCAATAGCAACAGTTTCATATTCCAGCTACGATATTCCTCAGAGGGGGCGTTAGCGCTCAGTGAGATTTCTCTGGCCATTTACTTACCATCGACGAACCAAAGTAACTAAAAGTAATTGAAAAGGGGTTCTGAGGGGCCCGGAGGTAATTGAAGAGCGACGATCGGTGATAAGCGACAAGTGATCAGCGACAAGTTGTTGACGCCTTGACCACTAGCTCACTATCCTCGCTCTCGAAACCGTTGTTGTGACCCCGTTTGCCCCCGAGCGAAGTTGATTGAATTTTAAATAAATACTTGAAAGTCGATTCGTGTGTCAGCGTAGCTGCCAATCTGACTTGCGACGCTTATTGTTGCCTTGTGCTTGTTTGGTTGTATGTACACAAAGGTCGACGCGTGCTTCTCGAACGACTTGTACATACATGTCGTTTCGAAAATGAGGTTCAGCAGATAATCGCCAGCGATTTTAATTACTTGATGATATTTTTGTGTCAGCCTTTTTGCTACATCACATTTTGCACACTAATGCTTTATTTCTCATAACTTTTGTTAGGTTTGTCGTGCTGCTTCAACTTTTCGCACTTTTTACTTTATATTTAAAACGAGACAAACATATATTCAGACGCTATATTCAGGAGAAGAATAAGGATTAAGAATAAAGGAGTCGAATGCGAAAGGTTCAAGCATCGCGACAGACTTAGGCCTGGTCTACAATATCGTCGTGTCGTAAGTTGTAAGCCGTAAAGGCTCGTCTACAATAGCTGTAAGAGTAAAGCTAAGACTCCATGCATGCGGTGAGCTCCGGCAAACGGCTGCGGTGACCAATCAGGAGATTGGTCACCGACAGACGCATGCCGGAGCTTGCCGCAACCGGACTTGCGCCTCCCTCCTGATTGGTCACCGCAGCATTTGCCGCAGCTCACCGCATGCATGGAGTCTTAGCTTAAGGCTGTAAGGCTGTAACGTAAGCTGTCAGCGAATGAAAATATTTCATTTCGTGTCTTGCAACCTTACAGCCTTACTCTTACTAGCTAATGTAGACGAGCCTGAAGAGGCCCTCCACAATAAGCAATTAGTCATAAGCTACAAGCAAATTGACCAATCACAATTGATTATTTCAAAAATAATCGACTGTGATTGGTCAATCTGGTTACAACTTATGATTAAAGGCTCGTCTACATTAGCTGCAAGAGTTGCAGGCTGTAAGGTTGCAAGACACGAAATGAAATATTTTCATTCGCTGACAGCTTACGTTACAGCCTTACAGCCTTACTCTTACAGCTATTGTAGACGAGCCTTAACAGCTTATTGTAGAAGGCCCATTATAGTAGCGATATATTTATACGACATTTTTGTATCGTCGGTAATTTGTATCGCCATGGTAATACGAAATATAGTATGATATAAATGTCGTGTTATCTTGAGCGTAGCTAAAACAGTCGGTATTATCATCGCTCTTCAATTACCTCTGGGCCCCTCGGAGCCCCCTTGCCGTATGGAAATTTATCCAGGGCTGACGGTCTTTGTATTATCTCGTCGGTGCTAATAGTTTTTATTAGTGTGTCATCCGGTGTATCTACGTGTGGAAATATATTTTTCACGTATTAGGCCACTGTAAAGAGTCAACTTGGGATTTACTCGTAGCTCCTGCAGAAACTCTTAAGAAACATAATTATTTTCTTTCGAACGATATATGATACAATGGCATATGGGTCATCTAGTTTCGAGAAACTTACCGAATGTCGCTATTGTTAAATTGCATAAAAATATTGTCACGCGCTGCACCTTAACCTAGGAAAAACGTGTCAGGCAAGTGCGTATGGTGTGTGTGTGATTTGGTTGTGGGAAAGAATATTGGGTTAAGAAATTCTTGAAGTGAAAAGGAGCGTTATATCTTCTTCCAAACAGAATCAAGGTACAGTGATATTTATTATAATTTACATCAAATAATGCAATATACTTTGTCAACTGTCTACTTCATAAATATCAATAATAATAAATTGCAGCACAATGGGAGAACGGAAAGGAACAAATTTGTACTACCCACCGGACTATGATCCGCGTGCTGGTGGCCTCAATAAGTTTCTGGGCACTCATGCATTGCGTGAGCGAGCCCGTAAGCTTCATATGGGCATTTTAATCATACGATTTGAAATGCCTTATAATATATGGTGTGATGGATGTGGAAACCACATTGGTATGGGTGTCAGATATAATGCGGAGAAAAAGAAGATTGGAATGTACTTTAGCACACCGGTCTATCAATTTCGTATGAAATGTCATCTCTGTGACAATCACTTTGAGATAAAAACTGATCCCGCAGTAAGATATAATATATGTAATGTAATGTAGGTATTGAGTTTGTGACATGTGCTATAAAATATCTCTTGCTTTTTCAGAATTTAGATTATGTTATAGTAAGTGGTGCAAGGCGTCAAGAAAACCGATGGGATCCTAAAGAAAATGAACAAGTTGTGCCTGAGACAAAAGAAGTATCGTGTAGATTATATGACGATGCCATGTACAAGTTGGAGCATGGTTTAGAAGATAAGAAAGTAGCCACGTCTCGAGATTCTGCATTGAAAAATGCAATAGCTTTGAATGACACTCTGTGGAAAGACGATTATAGCTCAAACTGTGCATTGAGAGCGTTATTTCGAGTATGGATAATTTTTAATGATATATTTGTAGTTTATTTTCAATTGTAACACTTTATAGCACAGAATATCAAAATTAATACAAATTTTTTCTCTCCGACCAATGCTTCTCATGTTCCAGGAGAAGAGAAGGGATCTCAAAAGAAAGCAATCTGTAGATTCTGCACTATTGAAGAAGACTGGATTGGATATCGATTTAGTTCAGGAACATGAAAATGACATCAAATTAGCCAAATCACTTACTCACAAAAGAGGTAGACATGTATGTTGTGTAGCGCTTGACTTAGGCTTAACTGTGCGTTATTTATTACTACAAGTTGGTGTTTTTCCTGTTTTAGACATAAAGAAGAAGAAGAAGAGAGATGCAGGACTTGAACTATTAGTTTCGATTGTACGATCCAAGAATAATTCAAAGAAGATGCCTTGCCCAAGTAGTAGATTAAAATTACAGAATCAGGAGTCGCCAAAAGTGCAAGACGTCGTAGATAATGCGACTACCTCGAAAGCAACCAGCAGTTCATCTCTAGTGAATTACGACAGTTCCAGTACTGATAGTGATACTTAATACTTTGTATATTTATCAAGCTACATATGTACATTTATTTTGCGTATTAATATATCGCGGAATGTTCCAATATTTGTGTCCGATATTTGGAGAAATAAATTTAACCCAAATAAGAACACCAATAGCCTCAACTCTGAATGTACAAGTATCAAAAATAAAACACACAATACACACAGGGATTTGCAAAACATATATTTTGATGAAAAATATATTTCACGTGTGATTGTAGTTATATACTTCTCATGCATTAGATTACACATTGGAAGTTTTTTTTTCTCCTTTCTTCTAGACATTGAAAAAAGCTGTTACATTACACATCAAAGGTACATATAACTGCCCCTACATCTGCATATATATATATATATATATATATAGAGAGAGAGAGAGAGAGTACATAGTGCTAACTTAATGCTTAGAGAGTGACATATATTTCTATGTAGATATTTAACAGCGGATAAATCTCTCAGAATGATTGAAGAAGTTGAATTCATTTAGGGTATCAAAGTTTACAAAGGATAACATTTTTTTTATGTGCTGTATGCGTTGATCTAAACATCGACGGTTGGCTGTTGCTCGATGATCGCTGTAATCGGCTGTGGCAGTTTCCTCTTTATCACATGAATCTTTTTATTAGAGAGACATATAACATAGCAATGATCCTTATATGTGATTGATATTTTCTCAAAAGCCTCGTGTGCAGGGAATGCTTTAGGATCAATTCCACTCGTCAGGGTAACCAAGCCGACAATGACATTCGCCATTCTTTCATCATTTTCTAGATCTCCTCCAGACTATAACGACAAACGCGAGATATTTAGTGGTTTGATGTTGTAAATCAGAGAGACGCAATCGCAACTCCAGTTCTGTACCGTTAAAACAGCACCATCCTCTGTTAATACCAAATACCCGGTTTGATCAGGGATACGGTCCAATGACATCATTTTCTGCAAACGACAATATATGTAACGCATGGTGAATAAGCGACGTGACATAAAATAAATTAGAAATAAACAATTGACGATCGAATAAACGACACCTTGATAATTCCGCTTTCACTTGACGCAATATAAAAGACTGACGAGTCATTAAAACTATTATCTAAAATACCTTTATTTGTAGTAACAGCTGTTTGCAACAGCTACTACAATACTGATAGCGTTCTAACCTCAACGACGGAAACACACAAGAACGAACGAGAACGTAAACTTACATGCGACGATGGTGTCAGTGGCTGGCAAAATGTCATGCGTATGCCGTAGCCGTACGAACGTCTTAGATAAGATTGCTGAAATACCGTGTATTGAGCGTTAAGTGATAGATTAGAAACGCGAGAAACGGTAAAACGCCTCCTGTGCGCTCATTGACAGAGAACGAATAGCTGGAAATATTTTATGTACTCCTGTCATTTCCGTTCTGTCGATGTATTATCCCGGTACCGACGATAAAATAGCAATCTGCATTAACATTGCATTTGCGTGATTATACACACACACACACGCGCGCGCGCGCACGAATAATTGTGGTCGCATACATGTCGTGTACAAATATTGTTATTCTATATTATTACCGGTAAAACAACGCACGTGTGTGTGAATAACGTTCATAATTCCCTGACAGTTTCATCATCACACTCGTATCAACAATCTCATAAACGACAGTGTTTCACGCGCGTGCAAATAATCAGTCACATTTTACTTAATTACTCTTATTCACCCCCCATTAAAGCAACGATTGTTCGATGAGTATGGCGATGTGATTGGCATCCGATTACTTTGACTCTAGGAAAAAGAGGAAACTAGGAGAGTGAGAGATGGGGGGGGGGAGGAGAGAAAGAGAAAGAGATAGCCCGCGTACTTTTCTCCCGAGGTATTTCTTTCAGCTGTGCATTCATTTCTCGATTGCCGAAAAAAAACATATGTACACGCAGTAAGCAAAAAGTGAGTGGCAAGTATCGCGCAGGACAGCCGGATAACACGCTTGCGCAACTCCTCGCCAGTGGTTCTCCGTGGGGTACGACACACCACCTCCGTATCATTCGTCGCGCGTCTTCCGAGCGCGTCTGTCCGAGCGCACGCGAGACGCGCTCACATACGCCCTTCGTGCGCGCAGACCACGTGGTATTGCGCACGTTGCCCGCGCGCGTTCGATTCTCGATCGACCAACACGCGCGGCCAACTTCACGCGCGCGACTCGCGAAAGAAACATGTCCGGCGTGAATGAATCCTCATTGTGACTCGTGTGAACGCGTAGCGGATTAATCGTCGTTACGACCGCCGAAATTCGCATTCCCTGACGACGACATGCGACGGTGAGCTGCTATTGATTCCCCCGTCTACGTTCAAGTGCGTGCTAGTGCGGTGATATGTCCAGGAGAAAGCAGGCGAAGCCTCGATCTCTCAAACGTAAGTCTTCATTGTTATATTATTCGCATTGTTGTCCGATTTGTTCGGCAATAGTGTCTTATTGGTGATATTATTGGTGCCAATTCGCCGAATCGCCAATAGTGAGTAGAAATGAATAAAAATATGAATGCGGTAATGTTAATAGTAGCTACAGAGAGAGAGAGAGAGAGAGAGAGAGAGAGAGGTGATACGAGCAGGTCGACATAACCTATTACATATCACTATTTTTGTTAAATTATCTACTAATTGTTATCAGGAAACATTTCAACATCGAATTCTTTAGCCAGTTTGTCGTTGATAGATTTTTATTAGTATACGACGCAACTTTTTTCTCTCTCTCTCTCTCTCTCTCTCTCTCTCTCTCTCTCGCTTTCTCTCTTTCTCTCTTTCCATTTCTATTTCTTCTTTTTCTCTTTTGAATTTTCGTTACCAAATATTGCAAAAATCACATAAATATATATATATATTTATTCTTTCTTATTATATCTATATGTTTATATATGTAAAATATTTTGTGCCGTGGGTCCAGGCAAATTGAAATGAATCTAAGCGCGTTGATGTTCTTCATTTTCGTCGTAAAATAAAGTGTCGTTTTAATTCGCGGTGGACAAATTTCCTTGATTCATTGCAAAGACCAAGAAGGGAAGTGAGACTCGCATGCAATAAACGCGGGAAAAAGGGATCAAAATGAGACAAATATGAAGATTTGCTGTCCCTAGGTGACGACGACTTTACGAGATTAAGGTCGACGTGTTCGCGTTTGTGTCGCAAAGACACAAAGCGAATAATAGCAAAGTTCTCCGCAAGGTATTCGTCCGTGTGTAGATGTGGGGCCGAAAAAGAAGTCGGGCTAAAAGGGTGCTTTGCAAAACTTCCAGACACGTATGGGTGTGCACCGGTATAAAAGTAACGATACGAATGCCAAAAGCCACCATTGTGTTGCAGCTACTGCATACCATACGATGTACAGTGCTGCTACAATGATTAAAAACGACTCGATTATGCAAGTGACATTAACATTTTTAAACTTTCACTACTTTTAAATACTATTTGCACATTATAACAATATAACTCGATCTTTTTATAAGTCACATTTTGTATTAAACGCGATAGTCGAGGCTTGACTTGACTTTCGAAAGTGCGAAAAGAAGAAAATTCGCTCTCAAAGGATATAATAAAAAGTGGATTGGTCTCGCGATAAACGTAAAGTGGTTTCTTTGGATTTAAGAAGCGAACGAATGTCAATCCTCTTTTGCGCATCTAAATTTTTCAAGCTACAGGTTTCGTTCGAAATACGCGTGGTAATTAATCGTCCATTTTCATGATGAGTATACTTCAAATCGGTCAATTCTTTACATAATGTAATCAATTATCGGGTATCCATACGTCGATCCATAATATTGAGATGATAGGGGGAAGAACCGAGACACAAATGGAACGGTGAAAACCGCCAGGCAACTCCAGCATCCAACGCGCGCTCGAGGGTGTTGGGTTGTTGCAGCAGGTTGAAAGCATACGTGCAACCGGATAACCGAAATACAGTTGCCACATAGAATGGAAGGCGCGGCAGGCGGATAGAGAGAAGAGAGACAAAGGGACAGGGGTAGAGCGAGAAAGACAGAGTTTGTGATAGGGAGGGAAAACGGTTCGAGGGTAAAACGGAGGAGGAAGAGGAGAGCAAATCATAAGTGCGGAATGAACAGAGAAGCCGCGAGAAATACAGAGCAAGACAAATGAACGTAGAAAGGGAAACGACGGGAGGAAAGGCGGGAGGGACGCGTGCACGAGTGAAAGAGGGAGAAGTTTGCGGGCTGATCAAACGCGGATAGCGAAAGGAGAACAGAGTCTTGTTTCAACGTGCAGCAGAATAGAGAGAGAGAGAGAGAGAGAGAGAGAGAGAGAGAGAGAGAGAGAGAGAGGGAGAGAGAGAGAGAGCGCGCGAGAGAGAGGGAGAGAGAGAGAGAGCGCGAGAGAGAGAGAGAGAGAGAGAGAGAGCGCGAGAGAGAGAGTGAGGGAGAGAGGGAGAGAAAAGGTCGTCAACAGAAGTGAAACGGTTAGAGGTGGAAAGAGAAGCAATAGGTGAACGAGGTAGACCGACAGAGAGCAAGAGAGGAAGATAGAGGTAGAGTCAGTAGTCAGCCAGGATGGAATTAGGTGGAAGCCCGCGGGAGACCGGTGCTTCTCCCCGGGGAATCCCCGGCCTCTGTAATCACCAGTTCGCCTATCCTATCCAATTCTGGTCGCGCTCCTCTCGTCCTCCTTGCTCTGGTACCTCTTTTCGCGCACGTCGTCCCTCCCAGCTTGCCGACCGCTTCTCGCTCCTCTGTGCCGTTACCGCCGTCACTTTCTCCCCTTTCCTTTAGGTTTGTCGTTTCTCGTCCTCGAGTCTTTCTCTTCCCCGTGCGTTTCCGTCGCATCCGCACGCAACAGTTTCCTCGCTTTTAATCGTACTTCCTTTCTTACGCGCTTCTCTCGAATCCTTGTCAACGAACTGGAAGAAGCAACAGAAAGAAACGGCGTGATCTTGAGACTCTGAATGAGGTACGTTCGTAGGTAGCATGGATCGTGTCCGTAGTTTATGAACTCGACACTATTTCATATGCTTACATTGGATCTTACTAATTGTGGACTCGGTTAATGTTAGCCCCCCAACAGCCTCAAACACGAGCTCGCGAGCAACCGGATCCTCGCTGAGCTCGCAGTCGCTATACGTATATGTGCCATGTACACGGCCGTGGTATAACCCTTTTCCCTCGAAATTGCGATCCTGCTATGCTGTAGCCGAATCATTTCTCGTTTGTCGGGGCGGAATTGACGATTGAGCGGAAACGAAAGTTTCGCTCGTTGCTCGTTTCGAACTGCTGCTCGGTAGCCGGCCACATCCGGATTCCAATAGCGGACGTAAAAGGTACTCGGCCGCCCGAAATATTGGCGCCGGTGGTTGATGAGGAGAGAGAGAGAGAGAGAGAGAGAGAGAGAGAGAGAGAGAGAGAGAGAGAGAGAGAGAGAGAGAGAGAGAGCCGTTTCGCGATTCACAGTACAGATGGGATGAATCGCGTTCGTGTCTACCGCAATCTTTGCCGCTCGAAATATCAACTGCTCCTAAACCGATCGCACGTAATTATTTATCGTGCACATAATATGTAGTTTTTCGGCGAGTTAACGAAATTCTTCAGATATCGTAGACATGTATCAACGGTCGTGATTTTCCAACTCTCTTGGTATTTTAAACGTGTCGATGTTTCGATTGTCGTCGAGACGAGCATGTTTCATTCTGCGATAATGTAAAAAAATTGTAATCCTCATCACGGCATGGCACGGGATATCAGAAAGTTGGGTGACAAGGAAACGTACAGTACGCATCAGTGACAAGAAAGAAAGTCCAACAAACTATATATCACGCGCGTTACCTGTTTGTTGCGGTGAACAAAGTGTCGTCTTTTATCGGATCAAGCCGACGCTGCCATCGCGGTCAGAACGTCACGAGCCAGTGGTTAGCCACGAAATAGCAAGCCGAACCGATAGTATTGCCGGCATAGTGATATAGGGTGTTGCTAATTAATGCACGATAATGAACCTGCGCGCGACCGAAGCCGTATTAATGGATTCCAATGCCCCGTCATAACATGGACAACCGGTAGGTTGGTAGCAGCCGAACGGAGGATAATTGCGTTAATGGGAATATATCGGTTTGCATCGACAGCTTTTGGCGACCGTCCCTAACATGCGCCTCGGATATTTTTTTGGAACGATCGAAGCGAACGGATGAACGAAGGAAGGGGGAGGGGGAGGGGGAGAGCATGTCTCGGTCATCGTCCTATCTATCGCTTCGTCGAGATTAAAATCCCATTAATTCATAAAATCGCGTTTAAATATTCTTCTTTCGGTGAAGTTTCACCGACATTCGGACGTGTATTGCTGAATAAATTTCGCAGGAACGTTCGTCGCGTCAGCTTCATTGGAAAAAAAATATATACCATGCGAAAAGGAATTGTCGTCACGCATCGAGCATTTTTGGCGAGGCAAACTTACGCTCGCGCGGACAATAATATTTTTATATACACAGAGTGTCCAATAAATCATAAATACATCGATATCACCAACTAAAATCCTTTGTTACAATTTGCCGTAATTAAAGCATATCGGTACTCTTGATCGTCATATTTTGGCATCTTGAAAGATCGATAAAATTCTTTATTACAGCGATATTAGTATTTAATACGCATAATATTAATACTCTTTCTGGCACGTAGCGACGCACAAGCAAATTTTAAGATCGCACGTAAAAAAATGTTTTTAGTTGTGCACGCAACATCAATCAAGTCAAGTCAAAACGCGCATCCGCGCTTCTTTCATGTCTGAAATCCTTCTCCTTCGAGAGTTACGCCATCGATTAGAAAGGTTTATATTCTATAATTTCCCACTTGTACTTTTTTTCTCATGAGAAATAAAATCCCTGCACCGAATGTAGGCATGATTTGTTGGACGCTCTGTATGTATATAACCTAGTGAGAACGATGAAACATGACTGCTGATTGTTGGAGAAATCTTAATTTATCAATCTACGCGGCGCGTTGTTAGAGTTGCATTATGTATCGTATGTAAATCAGGTTTCCCGTGTGCATATGCATTTCTACGGCAAGTATGAAGGAACGCCTAAATATACTCGATATATAAGCGCATTATAATTGGTGAGTAGGACGCAATGACCTGAATCATGTGCATTATGCCTCAGGAACGTGATTGTAATTTGCGCGTGCTCGCATAAATGCATAATTATCGTACCGGAATTAATTTACACGCGCAGAAATGATTAACGACCCGAAGCCTCGGCTTCAGGCTTTGCTTATCGATAACTATTATTTCCTCCTTTTCATGCGCGTTCAACATTAGGACGAGGAACACGACATCGGTCGGCCGTCGAGGAGAGGCATAATTAAATTAAAAACTGCGTATCTCCCCACCCCCACTCCCTTTTCCTCGGTGTTTTCAAAGGTCAA